AGGGGGGGAGAGATGGCTGTCGTCTGAGACGGAACCTCACGATAAAGCAGCTTCGAGGTGAGACGCGTCGACGCGTAAAGGGGATATGTACGTAAGCAGGTCTACCTCCCTCTCTCTCGCATGTGACAAAGGAGCGCCGTATGACCTGGTCCTAGACCCTGCGTCCGATGACACAACCCCGTGCACTCGTGGAGCTTCCCCCACCTTCCTCTTTCCTCTGCTCTGCCTCCCGCACCTCCCACTCGCCCTGGCCGCTCGACAAGCGACAAGCGACAAGGCAGCATCTGTCCAACCTCAAGACAGCCTCAGCCTCAGCCCCAGCCCCAGCATCGCGCCAGACGCTCAGTAAGGTTCGCGTGACGCGAGCAAGGTAGCGTCAAGAAGCAGACCAGAGAGACGCTCACTTTCCGAGGAATACATCAAGGAGCCCTCCCCCAGCTCCCGCTGCCCCGCGTTCGCCCCATCCCATCTCTTCGAATCTTCGAACCCTAGCGACCTACACTACTCGGCGTGCCCCAAGCACCGACCCGAAAGCCCAACATGACGCTCCAGTTTGCGCCCTTCTCCTCCGACATTGAGCTGCCCTTCTATGCGGCCCTCTTTGCTTCCAAGGTCGACCATGATAAGCTCGACGACTCTGTCCGAAAGGTCATCGGCCAATACACTCCGCTGAGTGTCGCGGTCGAACAGAGCTGCAAGATGCAAATTATGGGTGATGCGCTCACGAGAGACGAGTAGGGCTGACGCCCCCTTCCCCCTGCTGAAGACGTGTCAGACGCCTGTTTCTGGAGCTGACTTGTGCAGGAATGACAATGAAGTACGAGCCGCGAGAGAACACATACGTGCCGAGGGGTCCATAAAGAACTTCAACACACTGGACGAATTCAAGAACGCCGACAAGCAGGCCATGCTTCAGCTGACTGCCAAACATGTGAGAGCTGCGACCCCCCTTCCCTCAAGGCCGACTTTGACCGACCAACGCAGATTTGGCATGCCATCAACGACGGCTCCATCTACGAAGTCCCCTCTCTCCTCTCCTCTTTCATGATCCTCTCCTACGCCGATCTCAAGAAGTATCGCTTCACCTACTGGTTCGCCTTTCCAGCGCTGCATTCCGACCCTCAGTGGAAGAAGTCTGGGCCCGTCGTCCGCCTCACGCCGAAGGAGAGTGTAGTGCTCGTCGATCGAGTGGGCACATGGACGTCGCAACGAACGAATAGTCGCCAAAACGGCTTCTTCCTCGCCAAGAAGGTCAGGAATGTCGATCTCAGCAACTTTAGCGAGGATGGGAATTCCGAGCTGCACGACTTGAATAATGAAAAGGGCTATCTTTGGGAGATTGGCAAGCTGTCGGACTTTGAGACGGGCTTCTTCAACGATGTTCCGCCCGAAGACTGCTACGTCTCCTTCGTCGACTCCTCCACCTACGCGGAGAACCCCTCCTGGCCGCTGCGGAATCTGCTCTGGCTCATCCGGCAACGCTTTCGGCTCTCCAAGGTCAACATCCTTTGCTACCGCGAACTGAGGAGCAACAGGTATGCTGCCAGGAGCATCATCATCCCGCTCGAAACAGAAGCCACCGAACCACTCAATGTCAGCAAAGTCCCCAAAGTTACGGGCTGGGAACGGGACAGCGAGGCCAAGTTGCGCGCGCGCGTGGCCAACCTCGCCGACTACATGGACCCCGCGCGGTTGGCGGATCAGTCGGTGGATCTCAACCTCAAGCTTATGAAGTGGCGCATCTCACCCAATCTGGACCTGGATGCCGTCAGCAGGACGAGATGCCTGCTTCTCGGTGCCGGCACCTTGGGTAGCTACGTGTCGAGGAACCTCCTCGGTTGGGGTGTGCGAAAGATTACCTTTGTGGACTACGGTCGTGTGTCCTTCTCCAACCCAGTCCGCCAGCCGCTGTTTGAGTTTGATGACTGCCTCGGTGGTGGCAAGGCCAAGGCGCCACAAGCTGCCGAGGCGCTCAAGAGGATCTATCCTGGGGTCGAAAGCGAAGGCCACACGCTTTCGGTCCCGATGCTCGGCCATCCATTCACGGACGAGGCAAAGGTCAAGGCAGACTTTGACAAGCTCCAGCAGCTCATCGACGACCACGATGCTATATTCCTATTAATGGACAGCCGAGAGTCCCGATGGCTTCCCAGCGTCATGGGCAAGGCCGCAGGCAAGATAGTCATGAATGCAGCTCTGGGGTTCGACAGTTTTGTCGTTATGCGGCACGGGGCAGAGCCCAAGGACGTGGATCCCAGCGACCAGGAGCGAAAGACTCTGGGTTGCTACTTCTGCAATGATGTTGTAGCTCCTGTTGATGTAAGCAGAGCCGATTCCGGACACCACAATGTCGTGCTAACCTCGCTCGCAGTCGCAGAAGAACCTGACGCTCGACCAGCAGTGCACGGTAACACGACCGGGCGTGGCCGCCATGGCGTCGGCTCAACTCGTGGAGCTCCTAGCGAGTCTGCTACAGCACCCTCTGAAGCACCATGCTGCAGCCCCTCAGATCTCGGCTGGCGCTCACACGCCGCGCGACCCTCCAGACCACGCCCTCGGTCTTGTGCCGCACCAGATCCGGGGCTTCGTCAGTACATTCGAGAACCTTGTCATCCGAGGCGAGTCGTATCCATGCTGCAGTGCCTGTGGCCCACCAGTGCTCGACGCGTTTCGGACTGATGGGTGGGAGTTTGTGAAGCGTGCGTTGCTGGAGAAGGACTACGTTGCCGAGCTCTCAGGCCTGGCCGAGGTCCAGAGGCAGGCAGAGTTGTTGTCCGCTGAGGTGGAGTGGGAGGAGGAAGAATCCCTGGAGGAAGGGGATGGCGAACTTGTTTGAGGCGCACATGCATGGGTCAAGGAGCAGCGGGGGGTTCGTCATTTGCACAGGAGTTCAGGGGCGGCGTTTGGGGCGACCTGTGTGCAATACCCGGCCACATTCGCGAGGAGCATGTCTACGGGGCATCGGGTATATACGAAGAGAAGAAACTCTGGCGTCGATTCACCCAAGGTATATATACAAATACATCTCTCTCTCTCTCAATCAATCAGTTGTGAACGTCTCACAGCAGACGGCGGCGACCTCGACTTGGATGTCTGCATATGCACATACAGGGGTAGTCTCATGAAGCTATCCAATACAAGCCAACTTGGGCGAAGCGCGTCCGTCGCAGCAATCATCAGCTTCTTCAGCAACATGCAACTAGATCCAAATGTAGCAACCGCTAAAATGTTACCATGGGCCTTTTCAAGAACAAGGTCTTTGAGGCCCGTGTGTAATGTTCACTTCAGATCCGCGTTCTCCACATCGTCTCCGTTTCTGCGTGCATCCGACCCCTTGCGGATCCTTTTCTGCGGCTCAGACGAGTTCAGCATTGCGGCGCTGAGGGCGCTGCATCACGAACATCTACGAAACCCATATCTGATCGAATCGCTCGATGTCGTCATAAGGCCCGGGAAGCCCACCGGTCGGGGTCTGAAGACGGTTCGGCAGGGTGAGCTCGTCTGATCACAAACGCTGCAAGCGAGACTTACTTACCATGCCATGCGTCGCAGTTCCGATCAAGTCTACAGCTCAGGAACTGGGCTTGCCGATCCATGAGATCAACACGTTTACGGGATGGACGGTGAGTGGCCTACGCCTGAGGTTCATCTAGTCTACCCTTGGCTCACATCTCTAGCCATCCTTCAACATGAACCTCATCGTCGCCGTGTCCTTTGGCCTACTCGTCCCGCCCAGGTTGCTCAGAAGCGCACAATACGGTGGCCTTAATCTTCACCCATCTCTGCTCCCAGAGTATTGACCCCTCCTTTACTCTATTCCGTCCTTCATCCCGCTGACCACGTATGCCAGCCTTCGCGGGCCCGCGCCTCTCCATCACACGCTTCTGCTGAACCGCCCCTTCACCGGCATCACCCTCCAGACCCTGCACGAGTCCAAGTTTGACCACGGCACCATCCTGTCCCAGACGTCCCTCCCAGGCCTTCCCGTCCCGCCCGGCACGAACCTGCAGGCCCTCCACGACATCGTCACGCCGCCGGCCGCCGAGATGCTCGTCCAGGGCCTCCGCGACGGCGTCCACGTGCCGCCGCTGAAGCCTGTCGGCCGGACGCCCTCGCAGCGGGACCTCGCCGCGCTGCGCCACGCGCCGAAACTCACAAAGCAGGACAGGCAGGTCCGCTGGCGCGCGTGGGCGGCCGACGACTTTGCGACGCGGGAGACCGTCCTGGGCCCGCTGTGGAGCGAGCTGCAGACGCGCCGGGGCAGGAAGAGGGTTCTTTTCGAGGGTCTCGAGGCGGTTGCGCCGTTGGCTGGGGGAGACGAGGCGGTGAAGGGCCGGGCGGGTGCGTTTGTCGCGTTTGAGACCGGCGCGGACGCTGGCGGTTCTGGCGGTTCCGTTTTGGTGGAGGAGGCAGTGGAGGTGTCTTACCTCGAGGCGGATGACGGCAGTGGTTCTGTGTTGATATCTGCCCCTGGCGGTGGCGTCGTGAAGGTTGCGAGGATCAAGATTGAAGGAGACAAAAGTAAGCCGGCGGCCAACACGTTGGCGATACACACCAACGTCGGCAAGGCGGAATTTTGGAAGGGGTCTTCGGATATCCACGGCGAAGCGTCATCGTGATATAGAGCATTCAGTTTGCACGGCACGGCAAGTCGTCGCGGCTCGCATGAGGTTACGGTAATTGTACACTATCGGGTCTGTCTTGAAGACTGAAAAGCTATCAGCGACTCGTGACTACATCCATTATAAACAGTTGCAAGCAATTATGTGTCCCCTTTGATCCATTCCAGGACTTGTTACTCAATCAATACCAAACAGAAAAGCCAAGCCTCCCACCCTAGTGTCGACTTGCTTCCACGTGCTTGATGTTGCCCATCTCAATTTCCGACCTCGACATCGTCATCATACACCTCATCAGCAGACTGCTCGACAACCTGACTGCGGAACCAAGGTGTCTGTTTGGTGGCTGCAGAGGGCGACACATCAAGTCTGTCCTGCCACTCATCATACTCCTGCGAGTCGAGCAGCTTCCTGGTTTCCACTTCGTCAATGTACGGTCGAATTCTTCTCAGCGTGGATGAGATCGTCGGAGCAGCAGAGGCTTCTTTGGTGGCACTCGGCGGGCCTCTGGAAGCAGCTCGGGTGTCTAGGGCGTAGAGCTTGTAGTCGAGGTCGTCGAGGGGCATGCGGTCGCCGCCCTCGGGGATGAGCAGCTTGTGTCCGAGCCGGTGCTCCAGGACGTCAACCTCCATCGTGTGCGCCGTGACAAAGTGGTAGACCCTCACCGGCCGGGTCTGGCCGAAGCGGATGGCGCGGCCCCGGGCCTGTCGCATGTACATGTAGTGGTTACGTCTGTCGGTGTGCAGCGGCGCAGCAAACATGACGTGGTTGGCCTCGGTGAGGTTCGTGCCGGCGGACTCCTCGGACATGAGGCTCTGGACCAGAACCTTCTTTCTGCCATCTTCATTGGGCTCTTTGAAGGATCGGATGGCGTCGGTATCGTGGTGCGTGCCGGTGGTCATGTACACATCGACGTTGTCGTCCTCCTCGAGCGCGTCGGAGAGCTGGGCCTTGAGCTTCTTGTTGCTGACGAACAGGAGAACCTTCTCATCGTCCTTGACGTCGGTGCGTATGACGTCCAGAATCTTCATGACCTTGGCGCTCTTGCCCTCAAAATCAAGAGTTGAGGCTGCCGTGGCAGAAATGAGCTGCGTGCAGGGGACGAGGGCCGAGCGGGCCATCGCAGAGCACGAGTCGACAGGGCATAGAACCTCGCCCGTCGTGCTCTCGGCCTGACCATGCTGATGCTCATGTGCTGCGACGCATCCTGAGCACAGTAGGTGGCCACAGGTGATGAAGAGGCTGAGGTCCTTCATCTCAGTGTTGTCCTGCGAGCCGCAGACACTGCACGTTGGAGCATTCGGCTGATGACCGGCTTCCAGAGCCTGGGCGAACGCGAACAAGTCTTGCACAATGCCGAGCACACGGAGCCGGCGAGCCTGGCGGATGTACTCCTCTATACCTGCCTGTACGCTTTGAAGAGCCATGGCCATACGGTTCGTGGCTTGATCGTGACTGGTGCCGCGATCAGTCTCTTCCTCGTTCAACTTGGGGCGGTAGGGCCGGAATTTGTTGCCAAATTCAAAGTCTTTGGACTTTGCCGTGTCCTTCCAGTAAACATCGAGGAGTGTGGCCGAAGCCAGCCCGATGTTGGCAGCCACCTTCTCCGGCTCTGCTTCGTGATACTGGTCTAGCACGTTGGCGTTCAGCAGGTCACAGACCGACTCCTCAAGCTGCTGGCCTGTGGCTTCCATCTGACTTTCAGGGTTGTAGCTGGCTTTGAAGCAGACGAGCTTGGTCTCCACGTGTTTGAGCTCATCTTCATCCATAGCTTCGACGTCCTCCTCCGTCAGCTTCCACCAGTCGATAGCACCGTACACACCGTTACCACCCTTCCAGCTGGCCCACCCGCCAGGTTGCCAGATGCCGGCGCTCTGCGTCGCGCCGCGGCCCTCGTGATGCTATGTGCGAGGTGCGATGGCGCGATACAAGTCGTCTCGGATCTCGGCGTCTCCAAAGCTCCAAGGTCTAGCAGCAGTGAACCTTTGGATAAAGTCGTCAAGGTGGTCTTGGTAGTACATGGCCTTGTCCTGCTTGGTCTTGTCTCTGCCCTTGGCGTTGGTCATTGTAAGAAGGCCGCTCATCTGCACCTGATCGACGACATACATCAGCATGTCGAACTGGCTCTTGATCATGGCCTTGGAACGGGCCTGGAGCCGTTGGTAGATTGTTCGCATGCTGGTCAGCACGGTGATGCCAGAAACGGCGCCTGCCCTGACGTCCATGCCGAGCTTCTTCATGTTTTCGCCATAGGCCGACAGATTAGTCGACGACTGCACCAACAGCGACTGGATCGTGTTGTGCCACGACATACGCAGGTTCTCTCGTGCTTTTGAAGCCTTGTTGTTTCCGGTCTGTTGCAGCAGCCAGTCGATGATGGCGCGCATGTCTCCGGGCACCTCTTCAATGTCCCAACGCGCGTCGTACAGCACCTGCTGCAGCTGGGCGTATACAACGGAGCTGACAGGGTCGAGTCGGCAAACAACGACCTGCTCGGTAACCCCGATGTGCGAAATATCCGTCTCGCGTCGGGTCATCTTGTGCTCGAGAAAGGTGCGGGCCTGTTCGTGGCGCTCGAGCGCAAACTGGGCCGACTTGGGGTCAGCGTACTGGCGCATCGCCTCGCCTCTGGTGGTCTTGTCGAGTCTTGGGCCTCGCGTGATGCTTGGGAAAGACCTTGGCACCGACGCCTCAGGTCGAGCGACGTGCATGTTGACGAGGTCGGCGATGGCGCACACCTGGCTCAGGTCTGCCATGGGCGGTGTGCCGGAAAGAATCCATTTGGAGGATGCCACACAGTTGGCCACGAAAGCCGCGGTACTTTTGTTCTCGTACGAGAACTCGTCGAGCACCACGCGGTCGAACGAGTACATCTGCAGGACTGTGGCATCCTTGAAGTCACTGACAACGTGAGAGGTAGCCACCTTGCGCTTTCGATCGTCCATGGCAGAGTCAGAGTCCGACTCAGCAGAGTGATCAGATTCAGCAGCGGCGGCGGCGGTCCGTCTTGGTTTCTTGCTCTTTTTCTTCGCCCGCTGTGTGCGGGCTGTCGCCTTTGACTTCTGGTCCTTGCGTCGAGACTCCACGATACAGGCGGCTCGAGCCTTCTCAAAGCTGGCCTTTCGTTCCTGAGTGCGAAGCGAGATGTGCTTCGCGAGAGCGCCGTTGTTTCTGTTGTTGTCAGCGTAGCACTGGCACGAGTCCTCCAGGTCGGTGACCGCCTCGCGATACCAAATGTTGAACTCTCTCGACGATGCGCTACTGGCATCGTGGAAATTGGCAGCCCCGGCCACTCTGGTGAGGGCTTGAACAAAGGCAGTTGAGTGAATGAAGGCGGTGCTCAGAATGACAATGTCCGCCATCTCGAGTATACCGCGATGAAAAGGCGTCTTCGCGTTGATGACGACGACGTTCCAGTTCTCGGAGCCAAGAAACCTTTCTATCTCATCACGCCACTGGTCGACAATCTGGGGGGGACAGACAATTAAAGTGGCCTTCAGATGGCAGTGTCTCTCCTGCGTCCATGCATACCGCTCAGTCACGGACCTCTCATTGCTCTGGTTACGCTGATGATCTATGAGGGCTAGGGTGGCGATGGTCTTGCCGAATCCAACGTCGTGAGCTAATACGCCTCCCCTGGCTCTGTTGACAACTTCAGCGTGGGAGCGGAGGCGAATGCTTGACGACGGAACAAGGAACTCTTCCACCTCCCTCTCGACGAAGCAGCTGTTGCTGCTCTCCTTCTCGATCATCCACTGGACAGACTGGATCTGATCTGGACGCAGCTGAACGCCACAGGAGTCGAAAGAGGGTAACTGAATAGCCGAGGCGTAGGTCGCGGAGGAAATGACATCTTGGGATAAGCAAGCTTCAAAGGGCTCGATCATCTTGAGGCTAGGGTCAACAAACTCCACATCAACAGCAAACCCAATGTGGCCATCCTGCATGACATCGCGGCGGATGCCCCTGATCAAGCCGTCTCGGGGAATATGCAGCCAAGCCCTGTGAGCTAGCGCAGTTGGGTTGAAGAGGATACGAATGATGAGCTCGGGTTCCTGAGCGATGTTGCCCCCTGCTCGACCGCTGTAGAGGTCGCCTGTATGCCGAGGCTGATCGGCCCTGACAATTTGAACATCCAACTCCAAAGGAAGCGGTCGTTTACTGTAAGACTCGGCTAGCTGTTGAGCAGCCTCTGAATCGTCAAACAGCTTTTTGACTTTGAACCCCTCCCAGAGCAGATGAACCTTGGGGTTGGGGAAATCGGCGTCAAGGGACTGGCAAACAGCTCCGGCCCGTTCGAGTATCCCGACTGTGAATTCTCGGGGCAAGTGATTAGCTTTGAGTGCGCCGAGAGCAAACGAGATGAGAGAGAGCGCATCCTTGTGGTGGTGATCGCTTACGCGCATCCACTTCTCGCCAGAGTCCGTCTCTTTGGCACACTCCTTGAAGATCTCTCCATCTGTTTTCCACAGCTGCGGCAGCAAATGCACCGGGAATGGGAGGTCAGGGATGTCAATCCGCAGTTGAAGCACCGGGATAGGCGCCTGCGCAACATCCGGGAAATTCAAAGCCCCGGGAATGATGACGTGTAAGTCTTCAGAAGTCTCGGCTGTCATTCTGTCTGGTGCAAGATGCACATCGGACATGCTGATGTTCATGAGGGCCCCATTGGTTTGGTGGACGCTACGCCAAAGGCCAGGAATCTCACACTGCACAGTTTGTGGAGTGCCGTGTTGTCGCAGCTTCTGCTCCTGCTCCTTCCAGCTGCTTGAAAACTTGCAAAGCACTTCTCGATGTGTTCCTGGTTCGAGCTTGCTCACAGACTGTGACATGACCCAGCTATCCTCCTCAGGCTCTGTGGTGTGTTTTGTGTCGAGAAACAGATAGCAGGGCGCCGAGGAAGGCTCGCTACCAGCTGTTCTTCTCGAATACAAGAGGTCAAAAGGCGTGCCGCAAGTTTGGGAGAACTCGTAAACGCCTTCGACTCCTACCATGAGCTCTGTAGCTGCCATGGGAATTATTGGGTATGACTTGATCGGCTGCCCATTGAACTCTGTGACGAAGCAACGGAAAGTAGAGTCAGATTGGGGCTCCAAAGAAAGCACCACGGGAACGGGCTGGAGGAAGAAAATCTCCCAACTCAGGCAGCTAGGGAAAACGTTGTCCGCCGACTTGTCGAGTATGGCTCGAGCGATGGGAGGAGCAGGTTGTTGGTTGAATGAGCCGGGCTCGAGCGGCTCTGGTAAGTAAAGATACCACACAACCTGGTCTAAACCAATGGAGAGCTCGATCCGACCACAGGTTGAGACATAAGTTGCCACGATAACCTGGCTATTGTCGAAGTGGTCGAGATAGTAGACAGCCCCGAGGCATTTGCGCAATTCACGAAGTCGAGTTGTGATGTTTCCATTTTCCTTCTCGGTAGTGTAAAGGCTCGAACATAAGCTCTTGACATCCTTGTCGTCCTGAGGTATGCCATGGCCTCCGGTCAAAGCAAACCGGTTCGGTAGAATGCCTCTCAGGGCGTGGATGGTCTCATCCCAGGACCACAGGGGCCCGGTAAGAAGCGTTTCGAAAGCGTGAGCAGGATTGCCCGCACAGGTGACACATCGCACCTGATTGCAAAGTGTACAGATCATGAGACCAGTCGCCGGATTATGCTTGCGATATCCTGCACAGGGACAATACCTCCGTCCTTTCTGATGTATCATTATGAGGTGGGCAACAGCCGCCTGGTCTTTCTGCGCAGTTGAATAGCTGGGGCAATGTTGGAGCAAGGCAAATGCTCCGTCGGCTGCTCCGTTGCGATCGGATTGGCGAATGGCAAACAGGTGCTTCAAGTGCTGAGTTCTGGTACTTGCACCGTTGTCCAGAAGAGGCAGGCCGTCGTGGAAACCACTGGATCGAGTCACCTGGCGTTCAGCTATCAGGATGCAGAGGGTGGCAGCGCCCACGACTGTGGTCGTCATGGCATTTCCGGCCATATCATGGAGGTCGGCCTGGGTTTCGACAGAGGTGCGGATACGATCAATAGGTAGACCTTGGAGCGAGAGTGCCTCAACACCCAATATCGGCCGTCCCTGATCTGTGGCGAAAAGGTCACCGTCGGGCAAGACGCACCCGACAATACCAATTTGTGTTTTGAGTCGCTCAACACCTTCACCAAGGTCAAGATACTTTGCCTTGTAGTTGAGATCTCTGCCTCCCTTTTTGCGCTCTGACAGCCACGTAATGTCGAGGAGATCTTGGACACGGCTGGATGTGCCTCTGATGTACGCCTGCCAAGACGTATCTCTGGGTAAGAGATTACCCCGGCCGTCCCGTTGAGTGAAAGGTCGGTCAGGTCCAAGTCCTTGCTGTCTTCGAACCTTGGCGTGATCGTAAGCGCACATTCTGGCTTCGACATCCCTGGTCATGTTTTCAGCGATCTTTCGCTCCTCAATTGCTCGTGCCTCGAGGATTCGCTGGTCCATCGATGACAGAAGGAATTTATGGACTTCAGGATACTGATTCGGAAACCAATTGGAGGACTCCATCATGCTCGACCACAGTCGCGCCATGCGCGTAGACAATTCCGTGCCATAGTGCCACTGATCAACAGCAACCAGGTAGCCTCGGGTTCTGGTTTGTGGGACGAGGAAATTCTTGCTGTCCACTTTCATCGATAGAGCCACGTAACCTACTAAGGGAAGCCAGAAGTGGGTGAAGGCGCGCCAAGGTGCATGAGAAACATTCTCTAGGATGATGAGTTTAGGTCGTTGGTCGTATATGAACTGCAGGATTGAGCCGAATGTCTTGACAGACTCGCCTTCCGTATGGAAGGAATCGCGGACATCCTGCAGTGCCATGCGGACATCATGCGACTGACTTTGAGGTGTTACTGTACCAAAATCAAGGCCGTTTTTGGTGTTCTTGGCTTCTTCGTATAGTCTGCTGAGGACTGAGTGCTTGGCCAAGATGTCTCGTTTGTTGTTGAGCTTCGAAAAGTCCACACACGATGAGCCTGCCACGAGCAGGTCCGGTGCTGCCGGGATAGGAGCCAAAGAGCCATGAGCAGTAATTCTAATCGGAAAATTACTCAGTGACACGGCTTGTGAGCGGAGGGGGGGGGGCTTGGTAGCTTACGCGTCTTTTCTGCTCGGGTCAGACACCTGGATGACGTCGCGGTAGATCTCGCCGGACGGCTTCGAGTTTCTCTCGATGAAAGCTTGCTTGTACGCTTCGATCTCGACACTGAACTGATGATCAAAGTCGAAGAGGTGGTTGTAGCCCATGGCCAGGGCCGCGTCTTGAAGCTCGCGGAGGGCCAGGATGGGAGCGTCGGTCCCAGAGCACATCGTGCCTACCGTGAACCGAACGCCGCCATCCTGGGAGACGTCGTCCAGCCCAAGTTCCAAGGCTCTTTTGAAGATCAAAGCCAGAGAGTCCCGAGGACGATCAACTCTAGCCCCGGTGTCCCCTAAAACGTCGAATTGCTGGGGTTTCTGAGCCATAGTGATGGTGGTTGCGATGGTGGTGATGGTGGTTCCAGGGGAAGTGAGAGCAAAGGGTAAGCAACGTCACGAGAGTAAATGGCAATCAAGAAAGGGCTTCAAGCGATCTGTGCACTCTTTGTCGTTGTTTATCGGCTTCAACGAGTGCCGTGAATCCTGATACTAAGGTTCTCCTGTGATGCCGGGACAACGGCCCCACTTTCGGTCACGGCCCCGGCCCGGCCCCGGCTCGGCCCAGGTTCCCTGCTGCCTGGCATGGAGCAGCAGCAGTTGCCTTGACACCCGCGGTGTACTGTTGAAATAGAAGATGTGGTGCCCAGCCGTAGCTCATGGTTTTCTGGAGTCGACTCTATCCTTGGGTGAGTCTTTAGATGTTTATACTGTGTGTTATGATATCTGTTAGCCTTGGCGTCTGTTGTTCCACTGCATCGTGACGGGCTATGCTTCGAAACACCCGCAGTATTGGTATCGTGCCGTAGCTATTACTGGGACATCCTATTCATCTCAGACCTTATCTTGATTGTCTTTGAGCCTTTCACGCTTTTCTATCACTCACTTGCGATGTCCTGTTCAACAAACATTGTGTCCATGACCCCCAGTGGACATAAGTTCTAGTGCCGTTGGAGACTACAAAGGCACTCATACTATCTTGTCTGGGTCCTACTTGGCGTTATATATGGTAATTCATGCTCAGATCTCCGCCAATATCCGGAGCTGCGCAAAATGCTTGACCTCGAATCAAGGGCTCTGAGGGTTACACATGCTCCAGGCTGGATGAACGTATCAGTTACACACCCCGAGTGTAAATCACTGAACTTCCTCCGAAACGTATCGCCCCGACCACATCTTTCGTGCCAATCTGGCGCGTTGCGTTGCCGAGCACGTTGGAGTGCCCCGGCCCATTCCATCTGTATCACTCACCAAGCCCTCGAACCATGATTCGAAGCTTAGTGTTCTGTACATGTATACCGTGTCGATTAGGTTGGTGGCTATCAGCACGAGGATCGGTGTTTCAATAGGGAGCGTTGTCTCAGTAATCCCCTTCAGCAGACAAGACAGCTCATTTCAGGACTTAAGAGGGGTCAATGCAAGCTGGCAGAGCATTATACTGGGGCCGTCAAGTAGTCTTCCTGCGATGTGAAACAGGGAGCAAAAGGCTTAGCATAGATGATCAGACCGTTGTCTAAAAAAATCAGATCTTCTGGTTTGTCTCACGCTGGCAGCGTTGCTGGTCAGAATCCTCTTCAGATGCTCTGTGCTGGGGCTATCGAGCCGGAATGAGAATTCGGAGAAAATCAAACGAGACTCGCCGTCAAACAAGATAGTCAAGTCATTCGACCACCGGGTGAGCTTTGCCTCTGCCGTGCGAGGGTGTCGTGTGTATTTGATGTCACGGCAACGAGACAACGAGAGCGTGTCACTGAAGACACCGACCGAATCTGCACTTCCACACACCACCTCGCACGTGGGCAGCAACAGCAAAGCAGCAGGGCATGCCTTACAAACTTCCAATCTCCGACTACAATGACTAGATCCAGCTGATAGTGGTGAAGAAGCGGAAGGGCGTGTCTGACATGTCGGGCGGTGGAGACGCGGGTGGGTTCCCATCACAAGGCAGACTGACAGGATGCGGTATTGGGGAGCAAATAATCACGTGATTACGCGTCGCCTCACGGATCTCGCTCGGTTTGAGCTAATTATAACCACAAGATGCAGGTTGCCATTTACGCTCGGTGATTTTAGAGACGCCTCTTTTCAGTGTTGCGACGTCGAATTCGACTAGCAAGATTGGTCGATATCCACTCCAGAGTCATCTGAATCGTGGCTGTGTGCCTCTGCTTGGTAATGTTGGTAATGCAGACCAGGGCTCACAGATCTAGAACAGAGGTCTGAGACTGCTTGAGTTGTATTAAGAGAGAGTCCACGACTGCTCGGTATCACCGTCTTACAGCTCTTTGATCCACCAAGAAGGCAAGCACAACTTCACCACCGAATCTCCCCACCCCCCAAACACTAAAATGGGCGCTCAATTGGAGTCAACCGACGCGAAGAACAAACTCGAGGACCTCTCGGGCATCACCATCTTGCCAGGCCAGAACCCTTATGAGGCCCTCATCAAGGCTTGTGAGGATGATCATGTAGATATATTCCCATCCCCTCTTCGCGGCGCCCGTGGATGCTGCGAGACAAGAACTCTGATCCGCTTCTCGCACGCAGGCCGAAATCCAATCTCTTTACTCGGCCCACAGAACCAAGAGAAACCAACAGCAGAAGGAAAAGTTCCTTTCCAGCGAATACAAGGAGCTGGTCATTGACCCTTTCCTGCTGAGGCTGGAACGTCCCGAGATCGAACCAGGCTTCCAAGACCCTCGGAACTGCCTCGTTTTCTGGTCTCGTCCGCCAGACAACATTATTCGGTTGTCGGTCCAGATCCAGAACCTGCTGAAGAAGGTCGCTCCGAGTGAGTCACCTCGCCAAGCACCTCACTCTCCGTCATGCGTCAGGCAGCCGACATGGAAGTGCTGATAAAGAGACTAGACATCTGGCTCATGCCGCAACACCGCATGCACATGACGGTCCTGGAGCTCGCTCACTCCAAGACTCCCGAGCAGATTGCGTCCCTCGTCACGACGGTGCGTTCCGCCATCCCTTACATGACAAGCTTCACCTACTCCCACCGTGCTCGCCTCGTGAAACCCATGATCTCATATGATCTCTCTGCCTTTGCCGTCTCTTTCCTCCCAGCCTCCGGCGAAAAGCGCCGCGCACAGATCGCCGCCCCGGCGGACCAGCGTGTTGTCGAGGGCGATCAGTACACCTACCACCACCTCCGCCGCGACGTCTTCAACCTGGCGCAGTCGACAGGCGTCGAGGTCGAGTCCCGCTATCAGGTACCGAGCGCGCACATCACTCTGGGTCGATATCTCGGCGAAGAGGACCATCACACGCCAGAGCTGCGAAAGCGGTGGGTCGAGGCCATTGACGAGATCAACCAGTGGCTCGAGAATGAGGTCTGGGATGTCGAGAGCGGCGAGTGGTCGGGCGAGTGGTCGGTTGGTGAGGAGCGAGGTCTCGATGCTCGCTGTGGCAGGCTGTGGTATGGTGGTGGGAGAACCATCAACCTTGGCGAGGGCTTCTGAAGGGACTGTTCAAAGACAACGCCTATATTCATCGGAAACTGCATTAGACAATTGGATAGACAATTGGATAGACAATTGGATAGACAAATTACAGGGCTGCTCCATATGCTACCTGCGTGAGTGAGGGCCTCGCAACACGACTGCTGGAAGTATTGTGAGGGCTACATCTCCCAGGGTTTGATCATGGTATCTCATCAAGCGCTGACGTGCCTCGTGCTCCACCAGCAGGGGGTAAAGAAAAGGTCATGAAACAGAATGCGTCATATTTTTGACTTGGCAACTCTGGCCGAGGAGGCACTCACTATGTTCGAGACAATGGATGATCCGTGGGTGAACCAGGTACAGCAAATGGCAATTGTGCAGCCTTCAGATTCCCGTGAAGCACACCCACTGCACAGAATCACCCATATTGAACAGATATCTTAAATCCATGTAGTCGTCATCGTCATTTGTTCGGAATTGCAAGGGCTTTTATTTAAACCCTATGGGAGTGATGCATGGTTCTCTCCTCGACCGGGTAACCCTCTTCGCCAAAGCTCCAGCCCGAATGATCCGTTTGCCGTGCCGTGTAGGAAAGCAGCCATGAAATCGGTTGACCACAACCACAATGCATTTAGAACACCAGAGCCGCACCCTTCGTCTTCTTGTCGCCACTGTAAATCCAAGCATGTTAGCCGTGTTCGCGCATCGATGTCTCGTGCTTCGTGGAAACGGAGCGGAAAGGGAAGGAGGTGGCCGTACCCAAGCTCGAAGTGCTTGCAGCGCTTCAGCGCCAGCTGCAGCTTGGTCTTGCACTTAACACATTCCAACCGCAGGACGACCTTCTTCGTCGTCTTGGCCTTCTTGTGGAAGACGGGCTTGCTGCACAGTTTGTCAGTCTTTCGCTCAGACGTGTGCGGGTGAGCTGTGACCGTGGCCTCGTGCCAACCGGAGACCGGGCTCGATCATGGAAAAGGAGGGGTTGAACGTACGTCTGACCACCGTAACCAGACTGCTTGCGGTCGTAACGACGCTTACCCTGCGCGAAGAGCGAGGCCTATAGTTTCCATCTTAGCATATTTGTATCCAACCTGCCAACACGGTCCGAGTCGAGTACGATTTCGTCCGCTGGGTATCGGGTGTATCGCACCTTGCCGGCCTTGTACTGGGTGACCTTGTGCTGGGTGTGCTTCTTGCAGTCCTTCCCCTTGCAGTAGGTCATGCGCGTCTTGGGAATGTTCACTGGAGGTCGAGAAGGTCAGCTTGCCAGTTCTTCCCAGCTTTGCGTGGTGTGTTTAGCCCTCAGATCGTTGCCGCTCCCCGCGCCCCTTCCCCAAATGTCATGGCCGTCATCTTTCCACACTATTGATTCGGGCTCTTCGGGTCTCGGGCAAGTCGTCGGCTGAGCGCGGTTCGCGATTGAGGGCTTCTTCGAGGGACTGTGGGCGTACGTACCCATCTTGACGGCTGTTGGGTGTCGATTGCCGGAATTGTCGTGATGATGAAGTGGTTAGGCGGGGATGGAAAACTCGAAGTTTTGGTCAAAATGGCTTGTGTGGGCGGGCGGCTAGGGTTGAGCGCTAGTGACAACTGGGAAGCGTGGGCCCCAGCGTCTTGCACCGAAGCTACTGCTTATCAGCGAAACGAGCTACTATCAGCACGTGATGCGAGGTACACAAGCCCAGGTCTCTCGCGGCTTATGTCAGCCTCTTTCTGCATCCTGCCCTTTCCCTCAGGTTGAATTGGCCCCCCCACTTCAAAGTGATTTGGGCTCATGCGTGGGCTGCGGCTGTCAGCGGCGATGAATGTGGCTTGCATCTTTTGATTCAAATGCGGCTGACAGCCACATTTACGAAAACCAAGTTCTTCACTGCCTCAAAGCCGTCTCCAGCGGCGCCTCACTCAGTCAACTGCATCCGGCGGTTTCGCTGTTCGTCTGCCGCGGTGCAGCCCCAAAGTCAAAGAGGTTTGCTGTTTTGACAAGAATTTGCTGTGCATTGATTCTGTCGGTCGGAGGGAATGGGGTTCAAGTGAAGGCTTACCGTGATCTAAAGTTAGGTTGAGACCGTCGCGTCAGACGCAGACGAGGCTGGAATTGCTGACTCTCCATGGACGGGATGGAATCTTCAATGCATCTTCGAGAGGCTAGCTTGGGTCATGTTCCTTTGTTGCCTCGAGCTCGCTCTGAGCTGACTTCAATGACTTGGCAGCATTCCCCCGGGTTTGCTTGGGTCAGAGTAACCAAAAATAGGACGGCCAGAAACGTGCGAGTGCCGAAGAAGAACGTCCGCATGCAAATCCCAGACGGACGGACGAATGCGCCGCCATTGTCAGACCAAGCGGCCAAAGCTTCGCCCGATGCCGGCGTTCGCCGGCGCGGGCTTCGAGGCGACGTGTGCCCTGAGTGACACTCGACGCGCGCTCAGAAGCGAAACGGTCGTGGGCGACGGCCAGATGCGAATGGAATGTTTAACCGTTGACGTTCACGGCGGAGCCTTATTACATGCCGATTTTGAAGCGTCTGTGGATGACTGAGTGTCAACAAAACGCTCTAATGACCCCCACGAGAGCATCGGGACGCCCCTAGCCTGAAATTGCTGATGTGCCGAGAGACCGAGCACAGAGAGAGCCTGAGAGAAAGAGAGAGAGCACCGATGCTATTGAACTATCCTGACGGGCAAAGAGCTGCACCTGTACCAAGGTTGGCTGCGTGGTGGCGGCGGGGGTATCTGCGCGTGGAATTGCGAGTGGTGCAGCAGAAAGGGAGGGAGGGAGAAGGGGGTCAAGGTGTCCCCTGCAAGCTAGCACACTCACCCTGGTGTCGCAATGCGAGCTATCGAAGCATCGACATGAGCAGAATGTCAAATGCTGCTCAGGTTAATTGTGACCCGTTGATAGACCAAAGAGGAGTTGCTTGACACCACGAGCGTCACCTCATTCACACAAACGGTTGCTGGTAATTGGCATGAAACAGGCGAGGCCGCAACGGCAACTTGGCCTGGGCCAGTTTCACCTTCTGACATGCACGCACGCAAGCAGGATGGACGGACAGGACACCAGGCAAGGCAATGCCGCGCGACGATCTTCGGGCGGATCTTCATGTGTCGGATTGTTGGATCCCGGCCGATGAGTCGGTCGAGGAGACGGACAGACAGCCACGATCCAACTTTCTCGGACAGATATCGAGAGACTGTGGTAGGCTACCAGGAAAGGCCTTTTGCAAGGAGTTTCTTTGGGCGTTTTGGACGTTCACGGAGATAACGACTACCGGCCGGTACACTGTCGACAGTCTGCACAGTGCTCCGGAATACGATGTGGTGGTGCATCTTTCCCCCTCCTTGGTCGTCCACTGGCAGGACGAGAATAGAGCAGCTCGCATTCCCTTCCCCGAGTCCCTGTCCCGGGATGACGATATCTGGTTCACCCTGGGAATCTCAACACTGGCCTCTCGGGGAGACCATTGAAGAAAAGCATCAGTCAGTCATCAGCCGATCAGCAGCATCGGAGGCGGCACCCACCCATCCCGTTTTAGACGGCGCCGGCGACAGGGAAGGAGAGAAACGGCGCCACAAGCGGTAGCCTCACAACCCTTGATGATAATCCGGACAATCGCCCGCGGCTGGCGGCTGAGGCTACGCATGAATCGCCGGATGACGGCATTCGCAATTGCAATACCAGATATCCACGACAGATGGGCATGGTGGCTGGCAGCATAACGGGTTATCGCCTGTCACCAGCTTTGACCAAGCGGGCCCTCCCATGGAAGTTAAAACACAGTCTTTGGGGGGGCAGTGTGTCGATCGGATTGAAGTTTTTCATTTCCGGGAACCCGGAGGGGGGGGGGGGGGGGGTTTGGCCGGTAAACCCCCCCTCCCCAGGGAAATGGCAAAAAGGGGACCCCCAGGTGGAACCCCCCCCCCCCCCCCCCCACTCTCTACCGTGTGCGCAATCCGACAAGCTAGGTCAGAGTGAGCGACGAGCAGCAAGAAAGCAAAGCAGGAAACACGCTGGTCAACGAGGCAGAGCAATGGTGGGGCACTCGTTACGAGCAGAACGTACATAGTGGGTGGGTAGGGTTCGGCATAGTTCCTCTCCAGCAATGGCATGACACCGAAAAACCTGTGTAATACGGGCTCAAGCTGAAGAAGGGCCTGCGGTAAGTACATGTAGGTGCGCAGATAATGGCCTAGGTTGGAACCTAGGTCGATATTACGACCTGACAGACGGTTCGGGGTGGCCGGGACCAACAAACGTTACTGGTCTTTGGCTGGGGTGATTTTTTTTTTGCAGTGCGAAGGACGGACAAGGACTAGCGTACACAGTGGGCTCGGTAAGATACTTGGGTACCTACGTACGTAGGTAGGTACGTAGGTACTTGGGGGACCCGCGCATGTCGACGCTACTGACGTGCCTCAATTCTAGGTGGTCGTATTGAGGAATGGAATCTTCAAGGCCATGCATCGGTCCGGATGCTTTTCGAGCCAGCTGTTTGTTATTGTGCGCACGACAACGTTTCCCCCCATTCATGTCGGAGTCAGAGTAATCGAGAAAGACTCGCTCAGCGGACAGGCTCAGCTACGGATTTGGCGCAGGTCAATCAGTCAGTCAGACGGGCAGACAGGCAGTCGATCAGTCCACTCATTCTCACTCACTGGCTGGATGGCGGGTGGGCGCGCATCCCCAGCCAGGCTGAATGATTGCAGTCACCTGTGGTTGTCAGCAGCGCATCTCACAGCATTCAGCCCGGCCATTGAGTGCACTCGATTCGCCCAGTCCTAGTCGCTCGCCTGCCCAGGGCTTTGTCGGAATAGGATGTCAATCGCCGTGGTTGGCGAGCAGTGGTGGCCAAGAGATGAGAGTAACTACCTACCTAGGCCGGCACCTGCCTTGCCTCTCCCTCAAAGGTGCCTAGCTCGTTGGCGGACGCTCTACCCTCTACCCTCACGAAGAACGAGGAAGGGATCTCGTCCCATGTCGCCATCCACTATCCGCTTTTGTGCCAAGACATGCCTTATCCGCCCCACTCCACCCCTAAGTCTGCTGTTCACAGCCAACCGATGTGTGATTTCTCACCCACAGATGGGCTAGCGCCAGTGCCCCTTGCTCACCCCCCCCCCCCCTTTCCTGTACCTCACTTCTCCTTGTCCCCTGGCACCTGGGCCTCTACCACTGGGCAGGGGCACAGGGTCCGCACATCTTAAATGGGAGGTGGGCTGGCCTGGGCTGGCAGGTTCGCTCGCTCGGTGGGTGGATGGGTGCATTGATCGTTCCTTCCCACGCTACCGACGCTCATGCCCAAGACCTTCAGAAAACCGTAATACGGGAGCCACTGTGTTAAAATCACTGTGTCTTAGTCAGACCAACGTGCCTGCTCAGCACCGTGCGGCTTTCGACTGGATACCCTGCTAAGCCTGTCTAATTCGGGCCTGGGTAATAAGGGGCTGCCTCGCCTCGCCTCCTCCCATCTCGAGTCCCGAATCTCGCCCTTTCTTCTAGGTTTAGGAGTTTCCGCCTGTATTTTGTCCCACCCCCCTTCCGCTCCCAGACCATCGCGCTGCTCGACGGTCAACGGGGTCCCGTATTGCCTCTTCCCTTTCACATTGCTTTTCACGTCCCTCGACGCTTGACTGCTTTGACTGGCACGGTATTCTTCACCCCCATTCCGTCTTTGGCTTCTGCAGCATTGCTTCCACGCTTTGCACCACATTCGTTTATCTCTGCCACCACCGCGACAACGACGAGGAGATTTCACCAGTCAACAGAGCAGAACTCGTTTCTCCGTCTCGTAACTCACCCCTCTAACTCCCCTCCCCCCCCCCCATCGCATCCAGTCTCACAAGGCAACTTGCGGAACAACAATTTGAACGAACCAACAACGATCGAGGACACGCCCAAACACGCCGTCGATGCTCGAATAATCTCTCGCTTGAAACTCCCCCCCCTTCGTAATGGAGCGAGTCTCATCTTTCCTCAGCAATCGTTCGTCCAGATCCAACTCTGCCACATCCAACACCATTCTCCACGAGAAGTCCGAACTCCCACCACCTTCCCAACACAAGAAGACCAAACTCCGAATGCGCGCGTTACTCGGACACTGCCTTTACAGGCGGGTAACGCTATGGAGCGTCCTCATCCTGGTCATCATGTCCATGGTCCTGCTGAAGACAGCCGTCCACACCAAGAACGGCAGGGTTGTCGGCGGTGACGGGTTCCTCAGCGGCAACAGTCCTGAGGAGCAGAACACCAACCACCCCGTCTGGATTGGCTACAAGCAGTAAGTTGCTCGGGCTGCCCTCTATCTGCCAACAGGGCAGCGGCGTCGGCAAACACACAAGAGTCGGAAGCTGACCTCATCTCCAGTCTCAATGGCTACTTCAACGGCCTCAAGTCGCTCGTTCCCATGTCCAACCATACGGCGGAGTGGCCCAACCCCGAGTACACGGAACCCATCACGGAGGTCACCCTGACCCACGAGACGGCGCCTCTTCCCAAGCCGTACAGGCCCCAGCCTGATTACGAGTCGGCCGCGTACCTCGCTGCCCACCCTCACGTCAACGAGTGCTTTTTGGATGAGAAGAAGACGCCTGTCCCCGACACCTGGGCTTTCCAGGGTCTGCCTCAGTCAATGCCCGACCCGGCTCTCGGCGACTACAACATTCTCGGTATCCGCAATGATATCTGCTTCGACCGCTTCGGTCGCTATGGCCCCTATGGTCTCGGTTACAGCGCCCAGGAGGGCGGCACCGGTGAGGGCCTGGACACCGAACGCTCCGGCTCGGAAGTTGTCTGGTCGAAGACTGGTAAGATCGACTACACCAACGTCGACTGGGGCGATGCTCAGGAGCGCTGTGTCGCCCGTAACCAGCACCGTTTCGTCAATGAGACAGATGAGGTCCGGGACCCGACCCTCGGGCCTGCCAAGGGCATTCAGAAGCTTGAGCGAACTGCTGTCCTCGTCCGTACCTATGTTGGTTTCCGTTGGACTCAGCACGTCATCCTCAACTTCCGCGCCATGATTGCTGAGCTTGCTCTCAAGTCGGGCGGCGAGTACACCCTTCACTTCCTCCTTCACGTGAAGAACCTCGATGCTCCCATCTGGTCGGATCCTTCCGTTGTCCAGGACATCCTCGACGCCAACGTGCCAGCCGAGTTCCACACCATTTGCACCCTCTGGTCGGAGGCTCAGATGCGCCTCTACTATCCTGGCACCTTTTCCGAACCCTTCGAAAACCCCTCGAACCGCGACATTCACGGCGTCTACCGTTCTGCCCACATGCCAATGCAGATTTTCGCCCTGCAGCACCCTGAGTACGCTCACTTCTGGAACTGGGAGCTCGACATGCGTTACACTGGCTCCTACTATGAGCTGTTTGACCGTGCCGGCAGCTGGGCCAAGAAGCAGTCCCGCCAGCTCTTGTGGGAGCGCTCGGCCAAGTACTATATCCCCGCTCTCCACGGCTCTTGGGAAGACTTTTCTCGCCGCGTTGAGCAGGAGTCGATCGCCTCTGGCCGCAAGCCCGTCATGGGCCCGGTTGAGTTTGCCGGCCGCCAGACTATCTTTGGCGAGACTGGCGTTGGCCGTCGCGCCAGCATGATGCCCGCCAACTGCGATGACACAAAGCATGCCCCCGAAGAGTGCGGTGTCGGTGAGGAGGCCGACATCATCACCCTCAACCCCCTCTTCGACACCGAGGACTCTGGCTGGGTCTTCTCCAAGGATGTCACGGGCTACAACACGCGCCTTCAGATCCCTCCCCGCCGTTGCGCTATTGTTACCGCTTCCCGCCTTTCACGCCGCCTCATTCTCGCTATGCACGAGGAGACGTGGCGTCACCACCACAGCATGTTCTCCGAAATGTTCCCCCCGACTGTTGCTCTGCACCATGGTTTCAAGGCTGCGTACGCCCCCCACCCCGTCTACCTCGACCGTGGATGGCAGTACGAACAGATTGAGGCTGCCTTCAACGGCGGCCGTGATGGCACGTCAGGTGGTCCTGGCAGCCCCTTCGATATTGAGAACGAGCACAACCACAAGGGCACCAGCTGGTACTTCAACTCAGAGTTCGCCGGACTTACATGGCGCCGCTGGCTCGGCTACCCCCAGATGGATGGCCGAACCAACCGCGCCGGTGAGGGAACGATGCGTGGTGGTCTCCAGGAGGAGTCCTCGGCGATGAGCTCCGGCCGCATGTGCTTGCGCAGCATGCTGGTGCACCCCATCAAGTTCGAGAACCCAGATGAGCGCTCATAGACGACCCGACAACATCAGTAATTCAACCTTCGCTTCATACCCGACACGTCCCACCCCCTCCGTCGAGACGAGGGGGAGGGCTGTATATATAACCAACAATCCATTTACCAACCTCACTTATTCATCATGAGGGAGGTTTTTACTTCTAAGCGGAGCATGATCCATCCGTCGGCGGCGAAAGCGCACTGCATTTTATTGCTTTACACCACCGAAAAATCTGGGGCCTAGGGAGACCGTGGAACGAACGTGAGAGACGGACGCACCTGTCTGTAACCTTGTACTTATCGAGCGGCGGGAGCCAGCTGAAAGGGAGCGGCAGAGGGAGGATCAGGGGAGGGTTTGACTCCGCATGTCGGACGCATTTGCATCGTGTTTCTTGAGGAAGGGGGCCACATGGCGGGACTTGCTTCTTTTATTTTCCATCTTTTCTTTTTTCCTTTTTCTTTTAAACCAACGTGTTTCTGAATCTCATTCCTGGATGGAACGGCGTCGATGGAGGGGGTGGCATTCCAACACCAAATCGTCTTTATTCAAGTTTCATGTTTCGGCCCTCTTTTTAGAGCGAGGGGAGGCGATGAGGTGGTAGACAGACAGATGTAGAAGAATCAAAGCCGATAAATGAACTCGGGGCCTCTTGCCCTGTTACTTCGTGTTTATTTGGTCCACGCCCGCTTTACATGATCAATCGACCTTGCAGGAAAGTGAGTGCATGCATGTAATCATGTGGATTTTGTTTTTCTCATGGCTTGATCTCTGAGTATACGACAATCATGGCAAAAACAGATCCCAAGCCCATGCGATACCCCTCTCTTAGGGTACCAATTGTATATTTATCTCTCCATTTCGCTGCTTCGATGAGCAATACTATAGGTAAGGTAGGTGGCAAGCAAGCAGGCAAGCAAGGCGCAGGGCAACCCAAAGTCAAAGAGAACGGCCAAGACATGCAAAGCAGGCCACCACCTCCCCTTTCTCCTGGCCCGAAAACGAAGCCTTCGCCCTTCTTCCCACGCGCCCTTCACAGAAAAAAAAAAAAAAAAAGGACGCCCCGTGCAAAGCATGGCCGCGGGACAGCCGTCGTTCTCTGTAGTTGTAACAAATGTCAAAGTGGGCGGGGAGAGGCCGAGTGGCCCCGGCAAAAGTGCAGGAAAAGGAACAGTAAGGCAGGAAGGGATGAAAACAAGTCTAATTGCCCCTCCGGCCGCCGGTGCTCATTAACGTGATCTTCTGCTTCTTCTTCTTGCCCTTGCCGCCTCCTCCGCCTGCGGCCGCTCCGGCCTTGCTGGGACCGCCACTGCTCTCCGGAGCGCCGCTGGGGCCGGGTTCGAGGCCAAAGGCCTCCATCTGGAAGTGGAGCTCCGCGGCGCCGAGAAAGTCGTCGTCCTTGAGCCAGCCGTCGTCGGTGCCGACGCCGGCTCCGTCGATGGGACCGAATTCGGGTGACGTGCCGGAGATGGCCGGTGTGCCCCAGACGGTGCGGACGGCCGAGGGGCTCGTCGAAAGGTCGGCCAGCTGGCCGAAACCCTGTCGCGGCTCCGGGGGCGTCGTGCCGGCGTGGTGGGCGGCGGCGCTGTTGAGGGGTTGAAAGTCGGCCGAGTTGAGCGAGGGGACATTATCCTCGTCAATGGGGTCGTACTGGCGGCGGGTGCCTGTTGAGCTGCGCATGGCGGCGGCCTCGAGGCGCTCGGCCTGTAACCTCTCGCGGTCCTCCTGGGCGGCCTTGTCGCGGTTGCGCTTCCTCCGCTTCTCAATGTCGCCGGCGAACTTGTCGAGGATCTCCGCGGGGACGATATCGGTCCAATCGCACTCGAGGAAGCTAATGACGCAGCCGTAGGGGAGGTGGCCGAGGTACTTGGCCCGTTTCCGCTGGGCGTCGTCGAGGACGTGGCCGGTGGAGATGTGCTCGACGCGCGGGAGGAGGGTGGAGGGGAACGCTGAGAAGTCGCCATACTTTGTCTTTAAGATGCGAATATCTAGTGCTGATAGATAGAGATGTGGCTGGGATGCGTAGAAGAAGAAATCGGGCTGCACCACCCTGGTCTGGCCTGCATCTTTTGAGCTGGCAGCGGGCAGGGCGGCCTGCTCACCGAGGTCCTTGATCTTGTCCCTCGCTGTGATGATGGCGCGGATGGCCTTTTGTGTCCACTCGTCATCCTCGTGATAGAGGAGCTGGTCCTCCGTCTCCTGCTTCTGCAGAGCCTGGATCTCCTCGTCGTACTGCTCGGACATGTACCCAGCGGTGCCCTTGATGATCCTCGCATAGTCTAGGACGTTGGCAGCAAAATGCCAGGGGATGTCGTCGGCGGCACCGAGGGCTTCGGCGCCTCCCTCTCGAGGCAGGGCAAGTGTGGATTTCGCCGACCTTGCCATGAGCCTGAGGACGACATCGTCGCCGACTCGGGGGAGTGGGCTCTCCTGGCCGGCGTAGAAGCGGACGGGGCGAGTCTCGTGGAGATAGACGCTGTCCTCGCAAATGGGGCATTTCTTCCACCGCGCGCCTCTGTTGTTCTTCGTATCATCGTCGCTCGCGCTCATGAAGCGAATGAGGCATGGCAGACAGAATATGTGGCCGCACTTGGCCATCCTCGGGGCGACGGGCTCGGACAGGCAGATGGGGCAGCTCGTGGCCTGGGACTCGGCCGAGGCCAGAATCTGGAGGACGTCGCCCCATTGTAGGTGTTCGTCGGCGTCGACGGCCTGGGTGGCGTAGCTGCCCTCGGGCGAGACGACGAAGCGGTAGTTCGCATGCACGTAGCGGGCCTTGTCGGCGGCGTGGTGGCCGGATCCGGGACCCCAGGTGGGATTGCGGCGGTAGCTCCTCGAGTGGGAGGAGTGGTGGTGGGTGTGGAGGTGATCCTGGTAGTGACGAGAAGGCGTGCTGTAGTTCAGGAGATGGGTGATGGATGTCTGGCCACGGCGGCTCGAGGCGTTCCGGACGGCTCGAATCTCGGCCATGTCGTCATCGTCATCCAGCGTGGAGTTTTGTCGTGGCTGGCCAAAGCCAGCGGGTCGGCGTTGGTTCTTGTGCTGTTTCCTGGCGGCCTGTGCCTTGCGGGCGTTCGTCTGGATGATGGAGGGGCTCGTCTGGTTCGGGCGGCGGGTCGACTCAAAACTCGAAGGGGCGGGGCCGGGCTGGACGGCAGGAGAATGGGATGTCGAAGCGGAGAGGGACTTGCCCGTAATCGAAGGCGTCGAGCTCATGTTCGAGCAGAAAGGGTCGCAGGCGTTTGCTGCCGATGGACGCCGTCTGTTGTCGATGGACGCCGTCTGTTGTCGATGGACGCCGTCTGTTGAGCGAAGGCAATCAGAGGTCGTCGTCAACGGGGGATGCTCGGTTCGAGAAGAGGATGTCGGATGATGGGGGGAGTCTGGCGATCATCCGGGGTGTCACAGGCCGTCTCATCAGACAGTGAACCGGGGCGGGGCGTATCAGACGGTCGGCAAGCACACGCCACTCTGGGATGGCAAAGTTCGGCGATGGCAAGGCTTGGTGAGGTCCAGATCGGGTTGTGTGTATTGGTAAGGCGTGCGTTGGTAGGGGAGATAGGAATGGATCGAGACGGTGTCCAGCTGGCTGGAACCCCCCATGAGCAATGAGCAAATGGAGGTGGGGGAGCACGAGGAGGCGATCGAGGCACAAGAGAGAAAGAGAGAGAGAGAGTCATTCGGCGGGGCAAAGCAGAGTGGTCAGGCCTGGCACCTGCAGTGACAGCCTCGACTGCTGGAACGGCAGCGTTCCAGGGGACCGTCGACGTCGAGGGGATCGCTCGGCATTGCGGACGTTATGATCACGTGATTAACGTTGCCTCCAAGGTTCCTGCCTGACTTGAGCTGGCTACAAGCAGCTGGTGAATTATTCCCATGATGCACCCAGTCTACTACGCCTTTCCAAAATCGAGCACCATCACATTGATCCCATATCTCATCATGGTCTGTAGCTGTAGCTCGGTACCTGGGTCCGTCGAAGCAATGCCCGGATGAGAGCTGCAGGGTACTTTCGCGTACCAGCGATGTGACACCCTTTCTCAGCCCTCTCGAGGCAGAAGTTGCAAGAAATGGCCAACGATCAGAAGAAGAAGAAAAGCAGCATCAGCACAACATGCGATATTTCATATTCTCACTATTCTGCTGCACAGCATCCCGTCAAACAGTTGCATCGGGGTATTCATCAGAGGCCACGAGATCGACTCATCTGCTACCAAGCTTGATACACGCCAAGCTGCCACCACCACCAGCCAGTGTCAGTCAATATGACAGGTCAGCAGCTCCATCAATAGAACGATGGCCACCTACACATGCAATTCACCCAGTATACTTGTCACATGTCGCAGTCGAGGCAGAGAGCGAGCGAGCGAGCGTGTGTGTCCAGGAGGAGGACGCGACGCGCATGTCGCCATGATGTCATGATCCAAACCCACCTCACGCAGCCCAAACCTGGAAACTGGTGCTCCGCGAGCTGCGGCGCTCTCCTTTCATCCATGCATCCATCGTGGCCGCGCTCGACTGGGACGATCTAGAGACAAATCAGGACGCTCACATGGATGGATCCTGCCGATATACTGGGATACGCACAAGGATAAGTGGGATTGGCACAGCGAGCAGACCCCGCGGTTGAGCGCCTCGCGATAAACTCGTCCCACCACTACATCATGTCGGCCGCGCCCTGACAGCCGCTTGTCAATTCCTCTCTCTTCTCTTCGTCCTGCCATCGCATTCTTCAGCTTTTCTTCTCCTTCTCGAAAGGCGTCAGTCTTTCAAAAACTGCCAAGACGTGAACAGCCAACCTTCATCATACCCATCCCACCACAATCGCCAGTCGAGCCAACAATGTCTGCAATGGAAGGCGACCCGCCCCCCGAGCTCACCATCACCCCGCCTCTGCTCAATTCGGCGAACCCATGGGCCACCACGCTTGAAGACCTGCAGGCCATCTTTGACAGCCCGCACACGGGCGCCATCACGACGCGCACAACGCTCCTCGACGGCTTCGAACACGACGACGCCGTCCACCAGTATGCCTTCTTCTCGCCAACAACCTCGCTCGCCAGCTCCTCTGCGCGCCAGAGGGCCAAGGGCGAATCAGCCCCGGCCACCAACCCGCAAGAACACGCCGCGACGGTCAACAACCTGGGCTACTCGCCCTACCCCCTCTCCAAGTACCTTGCCTTCCTCAAGAAGATCCACAAGACGGTCGACAAGAAGTCACCGCAGCACCTCAAGCCCATCATCGTCTCCGTGACGGGCACCCCGCAAGAGATCCGGCGGTGCTACGACCGCCTCGACGCGTTCCAGGACGAAGTGCCCAACCTCACCATCGCCATGGAGATCAACCTCTCGTGCCCCAACATAGCCGACGCCCCGCCCCCGGCCTACACGGCCGCCAGCCTCAAGGCCTACCTCGACGTCTTGCCGGCGGCCCCGGACCTCCCCGTCGGCATCAAGACGCCGCCCTACACCTACGCCACCCAGTTTGCTGACCTGCTCGACATCCTGCGCAAGAGCTGCATCGTCGTCACCCGCTCCTCCCTCATGAAAATCCCCTGCCGCCTGAGCTTCATCACCACCTGCAACACCCTCGGCGCCTGCCTCGTTCTCGGCCCCGACGGCAAGCCCGCCCTGCCCGGCGACGGCCTCGGCGGCATGGCCGGCCCGCCCCTGCACCCCCTCGCCCTCGGCAACGTCCGCACCATCGCCCGCATGCTGAAGGGCTGGCCCGAGACCAAGCACGTCAGCGTCATTGGCGTCGGCGGCGTCGGCGATGCCGAGGCCTACCGCCGGATGAGGAACGCTGGCGCCTATGCCGTCGCTGTCGGCACGGCGCTCGGCAAGGACGGCGTCGACGTGTTTGCGCAGATTGCCAAGGGGTTCACTGACAAGGAGAAATGAGGGGCGGGGTGGTGAACTGATTGAGGAAGCCGTCCGTCTCGGGGTTATCTATGGGTGTTCTTCATGGGATGTTGTGTCAAGTTTTAGCATATGGGAATTTGTTTGCATAATTGGCGAGCTTGGGGATAATAAAATATTCTCTACATTTTTCTGCCTCTTTTTGTTCAACTCTTCAACACGGTCGTCGCATCACCAGCACTCAGTCAAACCCAGACCAGCAAGCCCTCACTCGTCCTCTCCCGCGACGGGGAGACTGCGGAACCTGTTGCCCCTGGCCGTCACATAGTGCAGCTCGTCGTCAAACTCCTCGCCGCCTCCCTGGGACGACTTGCCCGGCAGGATATCCTCAATGGCCCACGCGATCCGCTCGGCGCCCGCCCTTGCGCCGCCGAGGTTGCCCCCTGCCGGCCCGAGCTGGAGGCCCGCGAGACGGCCCGTGACAAAGAACGGAATGTCGTCTGCCCACTTGAGGTCCTCGTTGATGGACGGCAGGCCTCCGTGGCCCTCGATCGGGTGCTTCGCCAGCATGTCCTGCAGATACGGCAGGTCAAAAAAGTTGGTCTCGATGCCCGTGGCGAAGTAGATGTAGTCAAAGTCCGGCATGGCGTGCACGGGGGGCGTCGTCTCGACGGACCACGTGCCCCTGTGCGCGTCAAAGGTGGCGCCGCTGATGCTCGTGTCGCAGCGCAGCTCGACGCGGCCGGCGGCCACGTGGTGTTTGAGTGTCTTGTGGTACGTCGGCGTGATGCTGCCGCCGTTGCGTGCCGCGCGGATGTGCTCGAGGCGCTCGGCGTCCGAGTCGGCGCCCCAGAAGTAGGCCTGCTCGACGTTGCGGAACTTGCCCATCCACGAGAGGTCGACGTCGAAGAGCTTGACCTTGCAAGGGCCGCGCATGAGGTGCCACACCTTTGTGACGCCGCGGCGGATGGCGAGGTCGGTGAGCTGGGCGGACGTGAGACCGCCGCCGACGACGAGGACGTTGGTGGGCTTGCGGGCAGCTATGCGGTCCTGCACCACGGTAGCAGGGAATTCCTTGATCTTCATGGCGTGGCAGACGTGGGGGGGCTCGGACACCTTGTCAGGACCAAGGCTGCTGAGTCCAGCAATGTTGGGGATGACAGGCTTGTTGGCCGGGCCGACGGCAAGGACGACGGCTCGAGCGTAATGTGTTCCCTTGTCTGATCGTACAGTGAACAGCTTCTCGTCTGGGGAGCTGATGTGGGCTGTAGGGTAGTCGACGTGCTGCACCATTTCTTTCCGCACGACATGGCCGCAGCCGTAACGGTCAGCAATGCTGTGGCAGTGTTGTAAAAAGAGTGAAGTCGGTGGAGTGAAGTAATCCTTGCGATCTCGCTCGTCAACGTCCACCACGGCATGGTGTCTGGTGCTGATTAGTCCGCAAGCCGAAAAAGCATTCGGCGATGATCTGGGGAAACTCACAATGGGTTGCGACACTTGGCCCGTGACCTTCTGAGATGTTTGCTCACTTCCTTGCCGACACAGTTCTTGAGCTCGAACAGCTCGTTCTCTCGACCTTCGTTATGGGCCATGGCGAGCAAGGCATCTCGGTCACTGGGATCAACATGCCAAAACATGGGGCTACGCAGGTGGTGGATGTCGAAAGCTGTGAACAGTGTCTTCCAGCGGTTCATGAATTCATTGCCAGTGCCGTCCAAGACCAGGGTGGAGTATTTGGGCGGCTCCTTGTCATGAGGCATGGCCTTTTGGGAAACACGGCCATTCCGCCTGTTCTTGAGAGCCATGCGTCGACCATGCTTCTTGACCCAGTGGTACCTCTGGTGCTCGTCATCGGTGAAAAGAGCCGAAGGCGAATGCTCGCAGAGACGTGAGGCCACTGCCAGACCGCAGGGTCCAGCCCCGACGATCAGCACGTCGTAGATGTCAGGTGTGTGAAGATCAGCCATGTTGAGAACAGCTGAAAGTCGGCAAGAGGGCAAAGAGAATACGAGCAGACACAATATAATACTCACTTCGTTGGCGAGAAAAGTTAGGGTATTCTACTGGAGTGGCAGTCTTGCTTGATATATGAGACAGGCCGCAGCGATGCGCCTGGCCATCTTCCATACAGAAGGCATCCGAACAACGCGGGGTCACAGAGCCGGCCACCTTGATGGCCAGGCCGGCGGCAATGAAGACCTCATATGGCAAGCAAGCAAGCAAGCAGCATGTAGATGAAAAGCTTTGTGCAGGGTCGAGCTCGGTTGGTTGTGGTGTTAGTGCGAGTCGTTCGCAGGCACGGCGGGGACCTTGATGGCCTCGACGGCGGTCCGATGCTGGACCCCGTGGAGGGTGGGGAAGAATGATCATGACGTTCGGTATAAGAATGGTGTATTTTTGCCGGTAGGCTCAGCTTGGTCTCTGTTCTTATCGTTTTCGTGTAGCAGAAGGCCAATCTCATCAAGCTGTTGTGAGCTGTCTGATTCAGGGGGAAGGGGGTTCAAGTAGGACATGACATTTGACGAGGTACGCTGAGGATGCCGAACGGATGGTCTCAATTTTCTTCTTCTTGTCTTCTGATTTCAAACTCGACGACAAGGAGATTCCAATCATCGTTCCAGCGGTTGATTCACGCATAGCGAATGATGGCGACGATGCTTCGACGAGGTCCAATGGTGGTTGCTTTACTGCAAGATAAGCTGCATGGAAGGACCGTGCTGCCGGCTTACCGAATCTGGCAGCTCGAGCACGAGCCTTGCTCAGGAACTGTTCGTCCCTGCTGAGCACTGCTGAGCAGCACAAGATACAGAGGAACGGGGCGAGCAATGTGAGCGAGGCGAGCGACGCATCGTGGAGCTGGTGAAGGTGTTATTACGGAACCAGAATCCACCTCGTGGGCCTGGGCTGAGCCAAGTGGACTGGGAGATGATGCAATACGAGGATCAAGCCACACTCCACCCTCAACAAGATGGCCTCATTCGCCCTCCAGCCACCCTAGACAGCACCGCCACAGGAAGAATGACGCCACACTTTCCCCGTGTTCAGGTGTTCAGGGCTACAGGGGGAGGGGCCATAATCTCAACAATCACAAGGATCACAAGCAACCAGGCAGCCAGGGTGGACAGGCGCATAGGGGGAAGTAGGGGAAGTACCTAGCAGAGGAGGAAGGGGGCGAGAGAAGGGGCAAGTCAGGGGAGGAAGGAGAGTTAGGTGGTACGGCTGCCACCTGCTTGACTTACTAACTAACAAGCCACAAGCTAGAAGCTCAGAGCTGGACGCTGGGAAGGGGCAGGGGAATTTCAGGAGTTCGGTTCGTGGCATGTACAGTCAATGTTGGCGACTTTCACATCTACGGGACCTCTTGGGCTGCCTCTTGACACCTTGCCATCTTGATGTCTTGATATTCTGACATCTCGACATCTCGCCTCCTTGTCGTCACTCTCCTGCAGGTCGATTGGATCAGCCGCACCCGCATCCCCAGCCCACTCGGCACCTGCAGCAAGAAACCCGCACATCAACACATCACTGGTCCGTCTGTCCAGACTGGAGGCGCGTTTTCCCGGGTTCACACGTCGCAGCCCATCCCTCCTTCGTCACCTTTCCCATCCCGTTCCTCCCAAACCAAGCTTTTCGGGCCCTCCTATTTCTTTCATCATCGTTATCCCAACCTGCTCCTCGACCATCCATCCCACCCCCAAACCAAGGAACGAGCCCTCCGCGACCACCTTTGAGCCAACCACCGGCCCATAGACATCATCGCCCTACTAGCTCCTGGAGCCCAATCGCAGCTGCAGACTCGCCCACTACCGCATCATCCCGACGGCCACACCACGCTTCTCCTGCAACCTGACAAAAGCCCTGCAGGCCCTGTTGACCCTACCCCTTGTTTCGTCCATCATAAACCCACAATGTCCTCGCCCTCGAACTCCTCCGCCGCCAGCAAGCGGAAGCGCAACAACGCCAATATGCCCGGCTCAAGCGACATGGTAGACTCGGGTCTCCAGGCCCCGTCACGCGATGCCTCGGGCGAAGAGGGCGACAGCACCGCTCCCGAATCCACCACCCTTGGCAACCGCAAGACCGACTCGAACTCTGCTGCCGCCCACCCGTCTAAGAGGCAACGCGCCAATTCGGATCGTGCTCACGAGTACGCCGACCACGTCGTCGATCCTGGTGAGCCCAGCGACACCACCGAGGCCAGCGTCGACATTGCCGAGCGCGTCGGTCGCACCAAGGTTCGCAAGCCTACCTTCAAGGATGGCTTTCCCACCAGGGAGGCCGAGGGCATGGCGCCTCCGCCTTCTGGCATTGTGCACCCCGTCGGCTTCAGGACCAACGACCCGCCCGTCGGGCGACCTGTGAGGGTGTACGCCGACGGCGTCTTCGATTTGTTCCATCTTGGGTATGTTTCTCCTCCACCAATCGACCCCTACCACGTGAACATCGGCGCTGACCAAAGACCTCTTCATCCAGCCACATGCGACAGCTCGAGCAGGCCAAAAAGACCTTCCCCAACACATACCTCCTCGTCGGCGTCACTGGCGATGTCGAGACCCACAAGCGCAAGGGACTGACCGTTCTCTCTGGCAACGAGCGTGCCGAGACGCTGAGGCACTGCAAGTGGGTGGACGAGGTCATTGACAACTGCCCCTGGATCGTGACGACGGAGTTCCTTGAGAAGCACCAGATCGATTACGTTGCGCACGACGATCTTCCCTACGGCGCCGACGAGGGCGACGACATTTACAAGCCGATCAAGGAGCAGGGCAAGTTCCTTGTAACCCAGCGCACTGAAGGCGTCAGCACCACGGGCATCATCACCAAGTCAGTACCCATTACAGCCAGATGTACTAGTATGGCTCCGAGCTGACCACATTTTTTCTTAGGATCGTCCGCGATTACGAAAAGTACATTGCCCGCCAATTCAAGCGCGGCGCCTCACGCCAGGAGCTCAACGTGAGCTGGCTCAAGAAGAACGAGCTGGATCTCAAGCGCCATGTCCAGGATCTGCGCGATAACATCCGCACCAACTGGTCGACGACCGGCCAGGAGCTCAGCCGCGAGCTGCGTCAGTACTGGCCCGCCTCGCGTCCGCAGAGCCCCGCGCCGTCGGTGCGCAACTCTCTCGCCCCGAACGGTTTCTACGGCCCGAACGACGGCATCCTGCCGCCCGGCTCGGCTGCCAACGCGGCAAAGTCACGTCTCAGCATCGACGTTCCGCCGACAACGCCAGGAGGCACGCCGGTTGGCGACCAGTTCATCAGAGGTTACACACTGGGACTCATCGGCGGTGTTCGTTCTTGGGTGCGTCACGATGGAAACTCTCATGAAGACTTGGTGCACGTGCTGACCCGCTACAGATGACCAACCGCCGCAGAGGCGACCAAGACAGCCCCAGCCACCGCAACAGCGATGACGATTCCGAAGACAGCGACTCTAAGAGCCCTCGCGGGCGGTTCGTCGTCCCCCAGACGTCGACAACATCGGCAACCCCACCAGCCGTTTCCGTGTCGACCCCCCAACAATAATGAGTGCGAACCTAATCATGGAGGGAGGGCTTTTACTGGAGAGGAGAGTGGGAAAGAGATGTCATCCTAAACCGTGTAGCAGTACAAGAAAAGTTTGCGTGAGAGATTGGGTGTACACGGGGCGTTGATGGCAACAAGGGAAGAGACTCTCGCAGGAACATGTTCCTCGGGTAGGCCAGAGTCTTTGCGACGAACATGCTACAGTTTATTTTGTCTTTTTCAAAATGATTTCCGTTCATCTTTCTGCTTCGGGAAATGTGGGTTGCTAGTGAGCGAAAGGGGATGAGAGAGAGAGAGAGAGAGAGAGAGAGAGAGAGAGAGATGTCCCATCTTGACCAAGTGTACAGCAGCGAAACAAGACAACGATCAGATCCACGATCTCGTAACGGCCCGGGCCGCGCGACCTAGGTCCCCAATCAGGCCACACGCCACGCTGGCCCGAACGAGATGGCAAGGCAGCAAACGAGGCTGAACTGGCCGGTCTCGATTTCACCCCACGCACCCGGAAGAGCAGCAGGATCAAGCGACCGCTTGTCGTCTCCGACTGTCCCGTTTTCCGTTTCCTCTTCCCGCCCCCCGTGTAGCGGGAAGAAATCTCGCGCATTGTTGCTTCTTTTTTTTTTTCTCCTTTTGCCGCGAAGCAGGCCGGCTGCCGGGGTCCGCGGCCGCTTCGCCCCAAGCTGAACGCCCCCAACAGCACCGGTGGCATGACTCCTGGGCATCAGCTGGCAGAGAGGGACGACAGAAAGACGGCCTGGGCCTGGTACCGCGGCCGGGCGGTCAGGGATCTGGCCAACGGATACACGATGAAAAGAGTCTACCGTTGATGCCCGGGGGTAGTCCGTTTCTTGTTTCTTGGGGAGGGGGGGTGTCAAACTCGACGCTCGACGCAGCTGATGTCGTCGAATGCAGCTGGATGAAATCCTGGAGGGGAACCATGTGCAGTCTGGACCTGCGTTTGTTTCGTGTTTCAGAAGCGGCCCCAACGAGAGGCCTTGGTCCGGACGAACACGGCGACGATGCATGTACAGGGGATTTGGGCATGGCAAAGTGCCGAGAAAGGTTGTGATCCTTGAGAAGCGAGGCGATGGGACGAGGGGGACGATGTTGGTCCACGGCGCAGACGTGGGCATGGGCGGGCGCTCAGCAGGAGACGAGCGAGAGCCAGGACGGGGTGTTGGCGGATTCCGTGGGTGGGATGATGCGAGGCATAGCGGTATGGGCACGTTCATACTGACCTGTTCTCGGACTCGGTATTTCGTTGCCCTTGGTTGTGACGCTGTTGGTGATGGGCGTGTGCCTGCTTGCCTAGGTACCTGCCTGCCTACCCGCCATCTGTCATGTCACGTCCTCGGCACGATGGCGGGAAGGTCGCAGGATGCGGGGCATCGCCGGTGCTGCCTGCTGCCCGTGCTGCACGTCCTTGCTGAAGAAACCGAGAGCGTGCGTGTTGCAGAATCGAGGGAGGCATCATGTTCGGCGGCCTTCCGAGCCGTCCGAGGCCCTGTCACGGATCTTCTGCTCCCCATCGCTACATACCTTACCTATCGACTTTGGCTTGCTCGGCGCGAATATTGTCGACTTGGGGGTGACGTTTGCACTTGCACCCGCGCAGTCCAACACTACCTAGATTTCATAATGGTGACAACGCCCTTTACGCCCTTTGTCCACTCCACTTGCGAGTCGACCGTTTACGTCTTTTCTGCTGTTGGTCACCTCTGTCGCGACTCGAGATGCTTGTCACTGGGATGACACTACGCCAGACTCATCGGTCCGCAGTTGGTGTGTTTCGGGCGCCCTCGTGACGCAAGGGCGATCCCGTTGGCTGCTCATCATCCTCGACACACATGGAGCCACGGCAGATGGGGGAGAGTTGGAGCGATTTTCCCTGGCCACAAGGCCGGTCGCGGCAAGGAACCGCAGACCACCGGATCGGTCCGTTGTCCGCAGGCCCCTCTTGTGCATGCTGGGGCTTTCCATCCCGTTGATCCCATCGTTTGCCACCGCCAGACATGCCGCCACTGAGCGTCGCTATCACGAAAAGAAGAAGAGGGGGAAAAGGCTCCGCCGCCAACGGGCGAGAACAACCCGCATTCTACCTCGACAGGTCACAGTGGACCTTTCAACCGAGTCCGCGGCGAGCGTGCTTTGTGCCCCCAAAAACAGACAATCGTACGACCGGATGGCGGAAATAGCTTCTCTTTCACGGGCTATGTGTCCAAACCGGGAGCGAGCTGAAGCAGAGGGATGGTGCAGGCGCATGGAAGCGAGGCCACGACCGCGTCTTCTGGTGCGTTTCAGATGTCGAGGCGTGGGAGAAGCAGGTTACCCGCCTCTCGCTGGCCCGTTTTTGGGTCTGGAGAAATGTCGCAGGATCTTGGCTGGGCGAGGAATACAACCCGTCAGTGGCGTGCAGGGACGGAAGCGGGAGCGAGATCCATGAACGGGTATTTCTGCTGCAGGTGTATTTCGCCCTCGCGTGGGTAGGATCACGGTGCAGAAAGCTTCCGGGCGGCGCGCGAACGGCGAAGCACGACGGCTGGGATGCCGCGATGCCCATGACAGCCCTAGGAAGGAGCAGCGCCGTAAGGGGGGGCAGCAGAGCAAGACGAGAGAAAGGCAAGATATTCTGAGCTGCCTATGCGCGTAAACGCAAGCGCGAGACTTGGCTGAGAATAGGCACCTCGCGCTTTTCCCCGCGTACCTGAACCTTTGCCTGAGCACCAATGTGGTCCGAGGCGCTAAACTTGGGCGCTCCTGTGGACGGTTACGCGCGCAAGCGACTCGCATGGGGGGGGGGGGGGGCTGTGTCTGGGAAGTCTGGGGTGCCGCTGATCTGTGAGGTGTGTCGGGGCGACGTTCTGTTCAGGGAGAGGCTATGCACCAACCGCCGCGCCTTTGGCAGGGAGTGTCGATAGTCAGAGCCTCCCGGGGGGTTCAAATCTGCATCTGCAGCGTGAAGGACCCCAAAAGGTACCTCTAAGCCAAGGCAAGCAACGCAAGCAAGGCACCCACCCGCCTTGCTTCTGGGCATACATATATGCCCAGTTGGTTGTTTTTCCAGTTGGCGCCGTCCTCTCTCTGCTCAAGTCAATCGCATTTGGCGAACCGGTCGAGATTGAAAGCTAGATGGGGGGCTGCATCTGATCCTTCACGGCTTTGGGTTCGTTGGATTTTGCCGAATGCAGGAACACAACAGACATGGGCGGACAAAGTCCCAGAGTCAGAGGCTCGTTGGCGAGGGGCAAATCTCGCAGCCGGTTGGCGCGAGATGACCGGCACTCAGACTCGGGCTATGGGCAGAATGCAAGGGAAAATGACTTTCGCTCGATCAATTCTCTCGATGCGTGCTCTGAAGCCACCATCTCAGCATGGGCTGTTGGGCTTCCTCGGTGCCAGAAACATTTGAGGGGTTTGACGATGCATTCGTCGCCCAACAGCACATCTTCCCATCCGAGCCAAATGCCGTGAGTGAGTCAAGAAGAGGTCCCGACGGATGACAGCATGACTGGAAAATGGTGGCACAGGACAAGCTGTAGGTAGGGCTGCTCACGACCGGTGCGATGTCCCGCTTCTCCGACGGCTCATCGTCGGACAGGCACCGCCATGATTTGAAAATTGCATGTCCCCTTACAAGGTAGGTACCCGAACCGCTCGGACGGCATCACGCGTGGTTCTTTTGCTTCCATTGAAAGCTGCTGCTTCAAGTCGACGCATCCATCGCAACCTTCACAGCCCTGCCAAGACGGATCCTACCGGCTTTCGGCCACACCACAGAGCCAAGCAAATGCTGACATTCGTGACCTACCGCCAAGGGAGTCAGCCAGTATAACGGCCAATTGCGAGATGGTATCACGCTCAAGACCTGCCACTCGCGAGCACCGCCGCACCTTGGCCATTGGCGACGAACCGAACATGGACAACTGCGTCGTCATCTCGTCAGTCGGCGCACAAGTGTCGCTGTGCCCCCATGCCCGCTGATCATGTGAGGCCCAACCTACTGCTACTCGGAAAGACACACCACAAGCATCTCGTAGAACGCATCCAGCAATTGAAACAAAAAGACAACAGTCAACATGGCCATCGGACCCATCAAAGCATACTTTCTAGCCGTGATCGGCATGACCCTCTCCAATATGGCCGAGACGTTGGAGCCCGCCTGCGGTGCCAGTCTCGGTGTCGCAGCGGCCGAAGCCCGAGTCCCGAGCATGAACCAGATGCCCATCAGAGGCGACGCTGCGCATCAGCAAGACGAAGCCGAAGAGCCGATGCACAAGCCCCACGACGACCGGCAGCAGCAGCAGCCTTTGTACACGTCAGAAACGCCTGCCGGCGAGCGAGAGCCGGCCGACAAGCCCGTCGGCCGCGGCGGCATGCATCACCTCCGCATGAGGGCCGAAAAGGTGGCCTGCGAGACCGAGTCGCAGTGGGCTCGGCTGCTGCGCGATGTGTGCTCTCTGCTCCGCGACCTGTCGAGCATGGTCTGCCCTCTCATGCCCTCCAAGGCTTTTGTGAGGACGATCGGAATACTCTACCTCATCGCGCGAACGCCCGAGGCCATGGCCATGTTTCTGTCGTACCTGGCCGTCGTCATGGTCGAGCGACGGTTGCTGTTCGACTTTCAGGGACGCTACCTAGGTATGGAGCAGGCGCACCGCCGGGCCAAGGTTGTCTTGGATCTGCAGAGTAGAATGGAGACGGCGGAGAAGGAGGCAAAGGAGAGCCAGGAGAAGGTCAGGATCTTGGAGATGAAGCTAGACCGGTTGTATGCGAGAGACCCAGCCAGCAAGGCGGCACCCAGCGGGCTGTGACAGCAAGGCGCGGACAGCAACATAGACCAAACACAGTAATGAAGCCCCTCACCGTTCCTTTATTGATAATGGACTTGAGATGCGATGAGGTGTAGCAAAGTGGTGAGGATGGCGTGTGGAGAGAAACGTTGTACCACCCGAGGAAACGCTGGCTTAGTCATCTCGATGCTACCTGGCTCACCTCCGAGGCCCAGCGCCGCCATCGCGATCGACGATCGCTGGGGACACCAGATTTCAAGCTCCAACACACACCGACACGCGACACCAATGACTTGCCCACGATAGCAGGAGGAGGATTGACGGAACCACCGAAGCCGGCATTCAGCGACGGCCCAAGATGCGGGAGTTTATGGACTACGTGCGCGGTGCGTTCTACGAGGCGACAGGCTGGAATCGAGAGAGCTCCTACTCGTCTCTGAACTCGACCGCTGACGGTATGACCCCTCCTCTCCCCCTCGATCATGTCACGGCTGACAGGCTCTTGTCTGCAGCTCTCCTCAACTTTGAGACGCCTCTCGGCCTCCGATTGACCCTCTCATCTCTCGCGTCGCCCAACTTTGCCACGTCCTACCAGCTAGGCTCGGTCGGTGTCGTCGACGGCTCCATCTCCTATCTCTACTCCTCGGTGCCCCTCCGCGCCTACCTCACCCCGCAATCCGAACGCCTCCCCCTCTCGACCCTCTTCCAGTCCTACAAGCCGCTACCGGCGCTTCCGCAGCGCGTCAGCCCCGACGACCTCGAGCCCTTTGACCTCACGAGCCCCGCCGCCGCCTCTCTCTACTATGGCCGGCTCTACCTGCCGCAGTCTCTCCTCGAGGCCCTCGTCATCAAGCGCATCTCGCCCGCGCTGCAGCTCCAGCTCAGCGCCGTCTCGGGCCACTACCTGCGCAGCGGCGGCACGCTGCTCGGCCTGGCGCACTACGACGTCGGCCGGTACGCCGTCGAGGGCCTCGCCTCCTCCGACGGCGGCCTTCTCGGCCTGCGCGGCATCTACAACTTTGGCGGCGATGCCGAAGAGACGGATGCCGGCGGGCACCTCCACGCAGTCACAAGCACAAACACGCCGGCGACCGGCAGCAGCAGCAGCAGCGGCGGCGGCGGCGGCAGTAGCTGCAGCAAGGACGACGCGGCGCGCGAGCGCATCTACGGACGCTTCAGCACGGGAGGCGAGATCTACTACGGCACGCTCAACAAGTCGGGCGGCATGTCGGTCGGGGCGCGGTTCGCGACGCTGCCGTCGCACCAGGGCACGCCGCTGACGACGACGCTGACGATCAACCCGCTCATGGGCAACATCAGCGCGACGTACGCCGTCATGGCGGGGCGGCACTGCAGCGTGGCAACGCGGTTCGGGTTCAACGTGTACAGCTACGAGAGCGACTGGGCCGTCGGCCTCGAGCTGTGGCGCAAGCGAGTCGTGCGCGCCGCCATGGACCCGGCGCTGTCGGCCGAGCGCCTCGTCCGCGAGAGGAGCTTCCGGGCCAAGATGGAGTGGAGGGCGGACGACCCGCTATTGCCGCCCGAGCCGGTGCTCGTGCCCGTTGCCAAGCCCGCGAGGGACGGGCCGCGGGAGAGGAGTTTCGAGGCCAAGCTCGCGTGGCGGCTTGACGACGACGATCCCAACAACAACCATGACGGCAGCAAATGGGGTACAAAGACGACACCGCAGGATGACGAGTACACGGGGGTCATCAAGGCGCGACTCGACCAGAATCTGCGGATAGGCATCCTCTGGGAGGGGCGGGCCAAGTCGCTGCTGTTCAGCCTGGGCAGCGGCATCGACCTGCGGAGCTTGGACTCGCCGTTCCGCACGGTGGGGGCCGAGATTCAGTTCTCATCATGAGGGCTCGTGTACATTCCGCCCGCATGGCCTGCCGCCCGCATGGCATAGCAGGCCATGCGTGCCTGGAATATCCGCGGACAAAAGATTTGAAGGAGAAGAAGAAAAGGAAGCATGGAAAAAGCATCCAACGGCGCCAGGGTGTCTATTTTGGTTGAACGGAAGGCTGCCTCGGCTGTACAGTACCACGATGTTACGACGCATAATCTGCTCAAATGGAATATCTCGGCGTGTCTCACACGTGCCTGGTGATGGAATGGGGCGAGGGAGAGACGGAGGGCAAGACATGGGCCTGTGACAAGTCGCTGAACAAAGCTGACATGGCCGAAAAACTGCTTGGTGTGTCTAGTTGAATGACTAGGCGCCTTCGAGGGCTGTTCATACCATGTACACACATTGAAAAGTCAAAAAGTAGTTTCATCCACACCGAGGTACCTAGGTAGCAAGACTACCTGAGCAGGTAGCAAGACTACCTGAGCCCCTAGGTACGTAGTGGCATGGGCTGCTATGCTACGCTCTGCTGTTCGTGGGGCTCCACTGAGAACCTGGATGGCCAGCGACGCGTACCATGGACTGCAGAGCACAGCAGAAGCCAGAAAACCAGCCAAATCACTCGTCGGATGGTGCCGCTTTGCCGGGTCCTCTGCCCTGCAGTCTCCCCTCACAAGTGCCACCTTGAAGTCTTGGTATTCTTCGTTTCGAGGTGCTCCTGCTTGGCGCGGCCGGAAAGGGCAATTGACTGTGCATGCAACTGAACGACACAGCAAGATCGTGCCTCGACGGGCACGGCTCAGACGAGCATGATAACAAGCAGTGAGTCGCCAGGCGCACCGCTGTGAACTAAAACAAGCTTATCTTGGCCAACCCAAGCGACCGAACCAAGCAACACCACCAATTCGCGCATACTGGACACGCCGGACTCGCTGGACTCGCTGCTCAAACGGCGCTACACAGGGCCTACAGGGGCCCCTTCAGGCTTCAGGCTCCAGGCTCCAGGCTTCAGGCTCCAGGCTCCAGGCTTCAGGCTCAGGGCCTCGCGCTAGACCCAGTCTGCGTCCACCACCCGTGCCGTGGAGCCGAGTCGCCAGTGCCGGACGCCCCGACCACCCTACTCATTCTTCGGCCCAGAGAGAAAAAAGCTGTAACGAGTTGAAAGAACGGCACCGCCCTAGCCGTTCTGGCCATCCGGGTTCTCACCAGCTCCAACCCGCATGGGAGTACAAGAGTTGCCGCCCCGGTGCCAAGTTGACGGGTCTTGGCATTTCCAACGCAGATAGACATCAATTGACGCTTCAACCGATCAGTCTGACGAAAGAACGAAAGGACGAAAGAATCGTGTCGTCGGCAAAGGCCTGCATGCAGAATTGACTTTTTGTCGGATCTTGTTGCGCACTCGGAAGGGAACTTCACTGCCACAGGAGAGGAGAGAAGAGAAATCTGCTGTTTCAAACCCGCCTTTTCTTGGGTATTGCTGCCACTGCCCCTTTGCGCCTGCTGCATTCCTTCCTGGTCGCTTCCTCGCCTCAGAACTCTTGGTATATTCTTCTTGTTCCTGCTGGTCCGCAGCAAAACGTCGACGACAAAGCCATTCTCGCAACTCGAGCGCCAAGCATCACCACCAAGTATCAATCATCACAGCACGACGACCGCCCGCCACAAACACCGCCCGCCATGCAGCCCGCCCTACACCTCCAACGTCGCGATGGTGACTGCGACGGAAGCCCTGCCGAGACGTCCAACATGGGCCTCCGCATTGCCTCTGTCTTCATCCTCCTCGTCGCATCCTCTCTCGGCGCCTTGATCCCCATTGCCATCCACCGCAGCTCCCACGTCAAGGCCCCGCCCCTCCTCTTCTTCGTCCTCAAGTTCATCGGTACCGGCGTTATCATCGCCACCGCCTGGATGCATCTTCTCGCCCCTGCGGCTGAGCAGCTCGGCGACCCCTGTCTCGTCGACCGTCTTGGCGAGTACGACTGGGCCTTCTTCATCGGCCTCATGACCGTCCTCGCCATGTTCCTCGCCGAGCTGCTCGCCACCCACTTTGGCAAGTGCTACGTTACCGAGGCCGAATCTATGGCGCTTGAGTCGGCCGTCGTCGCCGCATCGTCGCCCAAGGGAGAGGGACCCTACTCCGACGACGGCGACACCTCCGACCCCACCGTGCCCCGCGGCAGCCTCGCTCTGCACGGCGACCGCGAGGCCGACGCTCACCTCGCTAACCACGACCGCGACCACCCGGCCCTCGCCGGCCAGCTGACGGCCATCCTGATCCTCGAGTTTGGTGTCATCTTCCACAGCATCTTCATCGGCCTCGTCCTTGCCACGACCGACGACCTCGTCATCCTCCTCATCGTCCTCGTCTTCCACCAGTTCATGGAGGGTCTCGGTCTCGGCTCCCGCCTCGCCATCGCCAGCTGGCCCGGCGGCCGCTGGTGGCTGCCGTACTTCCTCGCCGGCTGCTACGGTCTCGCCACGCCTGTTGGCATCGCCGCCGGCCTCGGTGCCAAGCCCACAAACGCCGCGGACCAGACCCTGACGAACGGCGTCTTTGACGCCATCAGCGCTGGCATTCTCATGTACACTGGTCTCGTCGAGTTGCTGGCGCACGAGTTTATGCTGAACCCGCAGATGAGGAGGTCGGGACTCGGGAAGCAGCTGGGTGCCTTTTTCTGCATCATTTTCGGTGCCGGTATCATGGCGCTGCTGGCCAAGTGGGCTTAGATTGGAATTGTCTCAAGGGGAAGACGTTGGGAATAGAATGTCAGGGCTAGTGGGGGGTATTCGTAGATTACATACTTAATAAGCGGTTCGAAGAAGCGATTCTGACACTTTGTCTCACGATAAGCTGTGGTATACAGTGAACATTTTTCATCGGAGTCGACCAAACTCTTGATATCATTGAGCATGAGTTCCAGCCAGATGAGCTGAGCGGCAAGGCTCTCATGATGACCGACATCGTCCATGGTGGAGTGAGGTGCTGCCCCCACCCAAAACAAGCCACACCACCGGCCCACTTAAACGAAAGGTACAGCCTGGCCCGTGCATCACCATCCACGCCCCGCCAGAGAGGAAAGTCACGTGCGGACCTCGTATCAGAGGGCAAACCCTACCCTCCCGCCAAGACTTCGCAAGTGGCACGAAAAATCCAACGACTGCTCGACCGCCTGATTGCCGAATCTTCACATCGCCAGACGACCTCACTAACCCACCACCAAACCACCCCTCACCCCCCCGACAATACCTTCAAAATGGCCGGCGGCGTTACCGTTCGCGATGTCGATGTAGGTCAACACCCTTCCGATTGAAGTCTTTCCGCCAGGAAATAGCTCCGACCACTCCACCAAACCGAACCGAGTTGCCGCCCGACGATATTCGAAACCAAAGAAAATATCCCGACTACGATCGCGACCCGCACTCCAACCCGACATCAACATGGGACTCGAACACACCTTCTTTCCCTAGATGGGCCGGCGCAGGGCGCGCATCGCGGGATATCGAACGGCGTGCAACGAGGATTCGGAATGGAACACTACACAGGAATCGAGCAGGCGCGAGGGGGTCGCAAGACCTCTGACGACGGAATCATTGCTAATTGGTGTTCCTTTTCTCCCGAATAGGCGCAGAAGTTCATCACTGCCTACGCGGCTTTCCTGAAGCGTCAGGGCAAGCTCCCCATTCCCGGTATGTATTCACTTCAGACCTTGGTCTCTTGAAGCAGAGGGGCGGCATTGGACTAACGGAACAATTGCAGGCTGGGTTGATATCGTCAAGACCGGTCCCGCCAAGGAGCTCCCTCCCCAGGACATTGACTGGTTCTACGTCCGCGCTGCCGCCGTCGCCCGCCACGTCTATCTCCGCAAGACCGTCGGTGTCGGCCGTCTCCGCAAGCTCCACGGCTCTGCCAAGAACCGTGGTGTCCGTCCTTCGCACCACTTCGACGCCTCCGGCTCCGTCGACCGCAAGGTCCTCCAGGCCCTCGAGAAGATTGGCGTCGTTGAGCACGACGAGGAGAAGGGCGGCCGCCGCGTCACCCAGTCCGGCCAGCGTGATCTTGACCGTACGTTGATCCCCCGACGCAAGACCAAAAGGGTCGTCTTTTTTTGCATGTGCTAATGAGTAATAGGTATCGCCCAGACCACCGCTGAGGCTGACGAGGAGGACGAGGAGGATGACGAGTAAATACCCCCATGACCTGCGCAAAAGCTCGGTTCCGGTTCGGTTATCATGGCAACGGTGGCATTGGCTTAGGCGTTGAAAAGGATTCACTTCATTGAGGAATTTTGCACCCCAATACAACGTCCCGTATGCTCGTCGCTCGCTTGACCTGATGTTCGTCGTGTGCATGCCGTAGTGATTGCGCGGCTTCTCGGCGCGTCATGCATGCCGTGGGCATAGGCCTCTAGGCGTGGGCGACGTTGATCTTGATGGCGCTGCATTTTACGCAACTCGCAACTGGGGCGTGGAAGGCGCCCAATCATTTCTTACTGATTCATTCATTGCGACTCCCGGCGCTTGCCTCCTATCTAGCGCTTTCCCTAATAACCTTCGAGTCTGCCGATAGAAGCGCCAACCTGTGCCAGCGATAACTCTTTAACCTCTTACAGCAATGGCAAGAACAACAACAGCAGTAGAGAGTTCTAGTCGCAATATCTGGCAACTTTCCAGTGCTCAATCCGACCATCTTTCTGTATCCTGCATCTACGCTGCGTTACAGATCTCTTCATTACTCGCCAAGACTGTTCTTCACCTCAGAGCATCACCGTCCTCAAGCCTTGAAACTGCACTGTTTGGGGTGCTTCTGAAGGCAACACGACTTTGTGTCTCGAGTCATCGCGAACCTGCCCATCATGTCAGAAACAAGCAGGGTATGTTCATTGCAGCGTTAACTCAACTCATCTTGATGGTGCTTACTCGCTATGCAGAGTATGCCAGAGAGCAGCCACTTTTTCGAATCACCCTCCCCCTCAACACGAGTCATGAGCGTTCATGACAAGCGCTCCGACGACTCCAAGCTACAAAAAGGAGTCTACTTCCTCAAGGTTGGGGTCGGGCCCGGAAAGTACATGTGCAAGATCCTGGAAGAGCGTTCAACGGTTGAGATTGCGGACCCAACAGCGGACAGAGCGGTTGTTTTTCAGAACGTCACCATTGGCATCTTATCGGTGACTGTCAACGGACAGGTGCACATTCTCAAATGCGCAACAAGCAGCAACAGGCTGGTACCTGGCGACGATGCCAATGAGAAAAATATGCTGTACAAACCCATCTGGGTCGACCGGGTCAAGAACATGGCAACAGTGTTGGACCTGAATATCGGAGCTCCCTATGATTCCCACGGACAGAAAAACGCGGGCCCCGAGTGTCACGGAAACTGGCACGCCTCGCACGTCGAGAAAAAACTGGCCGTGCTGGCTGTCCACATGGCTCGCGAGTTTCTAGGGCTCAAGTGGAAAAACCAGCTGGATGCCGGCGACTTGCTCGAGCTCAAGGAGGCCGTCCGCGCCAACGACGGGCTTTCGTCCTACCAGATTCAGCTGCAGCGTGCCGCGTGCGCGCTCTGCGTGCAGTTTGTGGGACGGCTGAGCTTCGCAAGCGGCATCAAGATGGCCATTCACGCCCGGCCGGGTCTCAAGACTGAACCGGATCCGACGCTCAGGTTGCTCGCGACATGGGATCCTGCAGAGCAAGCAGCAGCAGGAAACGCCGCGTCTCGCATCCGCGATGGCCCGCGAAGTCTGGAATGGAGAAAGGTTGATCAAGAATTCAAAAAATATCTTGACAGCAAACAGGAGCCGACGCAGACGATCACTGCCGAGCAGCCGCCGACTTTGATGCATGTTGAAAGCGACGCCGACATCTACGACGCAACCCCTCCCCCTCCTTCCAAAAAATCCGTGCAGAGCTTCTTGGATACCGTTCAACCTTTTGCCAAATCCCCAATGGACACGATGGCAATGACTGAGATGGAGCCCCTTTTTAAAAAGAACGTCAGTGGTCCTCTGGGGATTGGCATCACCAAGTCCAAAGAGCAAGCTAAGCGCCGGGGCCAACCGCTGGATCCTCGACACGTTGTCAAACCGCTGCCCGCGACGCCGGTGCTTGACCCGCCTTCGATGTTCTTGCCAAGTCACGATCGGACTGTATTGTCGATGTCCTTGGATCAAGGTTCAACAAACTGCCCTGGAGAAGATCATGATGGCACGTCGGGTTCATTTCCCTTTTCTTTTTGGAGTGAGCTGACGGAAGCGAACAGTCCTGGCCAACCGCCTTTCGAACAGTCGACGTGACATGGAACATCTGAGAGCCCGGCTTCGCCACAGAAGACTGCTTCGGCCTTCACGTGTACAGTCAAGACATCGCTCTCATCAGGCGAACGGTCACCCCGAGTCAGCCTCTTAAGGTGTCTCGGCAGTTCCCACTTACCCGCAAGGACCATCTGGGCGGGAAGGCTTGTTGTATGTTTGAAATTGATTTTTGTTTCTGATGTCAGCAGGGGTATTAGCTGTTGTACGAAAGGCGTCAGCAGTTATGGCCTCATCGGCCGAGTATGGACGAGGGAGCTCGGCGTGGAGGCGTGGAGAGGATTCGGCCACGTTAGGCAATGACTTGCCGACCAAGGTTTGAGCTTTCAAGGGCCACTCGCATTGGAGCAAGCTTGGTATGAGTCGCCAGTTTGACGCATCTTGGGGCATGTTTGAGGCTAACCAGGAGCAAGAATACAGAGAGGCCGATTGCTACCTTTACCCTTGCGCTCATGTGAATGCCAAGCCATCACGGCCCGGCTTCGCTCCACGCTCAGATGCGCCAGACACTTTGACAGAGTTTCGTCAGCTGCTCGTTGAAAGCCTTGCCAAGAACGTTACAGGTAGGCTGAAGTGACCAAGACAGGAAAATCGAGAGATTGCCTGTAGTGATGATTGAACAGCTGGGCATACCACGGCTCTGGGATTGTAGAAGACGTGCCCCAAAAGTCACGAGGTTGCCAATTGGAGAAGCCAGCGTTGCACTGCATCAGGTTTCCCTTGCTGCATGGGTATAATTAGCATCGCATTATGCCGATCTACCGTGCTCTTATTGCGTGTTGCACCGAACTCTTTTCATCATCCGCTTGGCAAGGCGGCGTCTCCGTACAGCATTCCTGACGTCTCGCATTCTCCATGTCATTAAGGTATGAACTAACTTCGTGCTACATCGCACCCTCTCCGCACCCTCACATGCAAGGGCGGGACTGAGATCGCATAACGTGGGCGGCGGCGACGCTGCAGCGTACGTTTACCCCTGAATTGGAGACAGGGTTAGCCTGTCAATGACTTTGACCACGATAGGTCAACTCACCCACATTGCCACGGGACAACCGTCAATTCGGATCACCAACTGGGCCAAGCGTAGGGCTACCGGCGCGCCTAGACAAGACGAACAAGATGACGGACGGAGTACGGGGACGCATGACACCCCCCATCTTAGCGAGTCAGTCCCCAGAAGACATCTCCGGATACACCTTTCTGTCAACCTGGATCGTGACACCAATCGCAGCCTTGAGACAATCAGCAAGTCAGTCTCACGTCAATGCGCTTTCCTGATCGATCTCGGCGATGGGGGCCTCAACGGGCTTGGCCAGCCCAAAACAGGTTGCGCTGTTGCGATGCCTACGGCACTGCCCATCTGCCGGGTTCGTTCGAGCTGCCGCGAGTCAAGTTGAAACTCTTGCCTGTTAAATACCCATGCTTAATAGTCACAAAAACCCTTCGACGCCGGACCGGGTAGCAGAGCGTGAGATTGATCAAGGGCATCAAACCCGCAAGGTCCCTGTCAACTCGAAAGCCGCGCCTCGCGGAGCGCCGGCCAGTCCTTGCACCCCGCGAGACAACAGAGACCCACGATGTAAAGTCTCGGCCATTATAACTGCGTGACTGTCCCTCAGCGGCTGTGCGCGCCTTCCAGGACCATGGAACCGGACACCGTATCGGTGGTAGCGACCTTTGCTGTCATGTCACGATGGCCGCCAACTTTGACAAAGTGATCGCGTCCGCCACGCTGGCGGGCAGCCTCCTCTCTTGCGTCGCGACGACATGCGTGCTGACTTCGTTCGCCATCTACCGTCACCAGATGCGCAGCTTTCGGCATGCCCTCGTCTTGAACCTTTCGGTAGCGGGTACGTGTAACCAATTTTTGCCAGCTCTGGGCGCCCATGGCTGGAGCCTCGTCTTCTCTTCTCACGTCACTGACTGCGGCGTACAGAGTTCATCAACTCGCTCAACAATACGGTCTCGGGCTTTATATACATGCGCACGAGGGGCCTCCAGCCCGGCGCCGCCTGCACCGTCAACGGCTTCGTGGGCCAGCTCTCGGTGCAGGCCGCCGACTTTTCCATCCTCGCCATCGCGCTCGTCACGCTCCTCACCGTCACGGGAACAGTGTACATGCCCAAGGCGTCGCTCGCGCGCAAGGCCACCATCTGCGGCGCCGTCTGGGCGGTTCCCGTGGCGACGAGCGTCACGGCGACGGCCATGGGCCAGATGGCCCCCGTCGGAGGCAACTGGTGCTGGATCTCGGCGGCGCGGCCGGACCTGCGGTACGCGCTGACGCACGGGTGGCGGTTTGCCGTCATCTTCTCGACCATGGCCATCTACGTGTACATCTGGGTATTTCTACGGCGTCATTTTCGGTTCCTGCGCGGGGCGCAGCGCTGGTCGTACGGGACGACGTCGTCTGGCGATGGAGGCTTCTCGTCGGGCCGCGCGAGGAGGGGAACCGGCGTCTCTGACGCGACCACGCGCAGCGATGATGATATGAAAGTGGACAACGATATGAAACTGGACAATCTGATGCGCATTGATACCACTGGTGCCGGAACAACGACGAAGTCCGCGAGGCTGAGCATCAGCGTGCACCAGGTCAAGATGGACGCCGCCGCCGTTGAGGCCAAGGGTGGGATGATGGACTTTGACGATGATGATGACGACGACGCCACGACGCTGGACGAGATGATCCACGGCACACCCGGCAAGACACTCCGACAGCAAAAGTCGTTCCAGGACGACCTCGAGAGAATCACGCCCAAGTCATCGTACCCCGGTGACAACCACGTCTCCATCCCCAGACCGAGCGCCAGCGCCCGCGGCAGCCTTCGCAGGCCCCCCAACGTGCCGGCGAACAGGACGATGCGCAGCACGCTGAGCGAGTTTCCCATCAGGCAAGACTCGCACCAGGTGGAGCGGGAGATCAAGAAGATGATGTTCCTCAACGCGTACCCGATCATGTATGTGCTGCTCTGGATCCCCGGTCTCGTGAACCGGCTGCTGCAGGCGTCAGGGAACGCGCCGGGGCCGAGGACGATGGCGGCGTTGCAGGTGTCGACGCAGTTTGTGGGCTTGGCGAACGCGCTCACATACGGCTTCAACCATCACCTGAGGGACAGGTTGAAGGGGATCTGCTTCACAGGCATAGCCTCGAGAATCAGGGCGAGGTGGAGACGGTGACACGCCACGGTGGTAGCGAATGGAAAGCATTTGTTCAAGAAGAATCATGACCCTGTTGTGACAGATGATGGAATCTCGACCGAGATATTGCGCGTCTGATGAATGGCATGCGAGATTGTTGAGGCTCACATGATGGCTCAGCATGTCGTTGGCTTGGAGTTGATGTTCACCTGGAGCTCCAGAGGGGCTTCAGGCTCACGTGCAGTGGATTCCTACCTGTAGGTACCGTACCTACCTGGGTACCGTACCTACCTAGCTTCAGTGACGCCGTGTCTCTTGGTGGGTTCTGGGTGCCATCTCGGGTCTGGGAAGGTGCCTCGAGATGGCACCTTTCTTGAGCCTCCAGCATGATCACGTGACACCATCAATGACCGAACAGGAAAGACCACCTGGTGCCAAAAATAGCACACGGCTAAGCGCCGCCAAGTGCAGGTCCAAGTGCAAGGGCAAGAGCAGCAGGAGTAGGTATGCAAGAGCTGGCTGTGCCAGTGATGGGCAACTGCCCCCTCCTCAACTGGCAGGCAACTCCGCTCTTTGCCTGCTGCTCTTCATCATCGACCTCACCTTCGCCGCCATCATCGGTGTCAGTCGACTGACCATTGCTGACTCCCTTCATATCCCCAGGGTCGTATGCGCAACATGACGGCCATGTTCTACTTTCTGCATCGCGTGGCGGAGTGCTGACCAGGTTCTCATCCTCCCACTCGCCCATGCCCTCGCCCTCGCCCACGCCCTCGTCTACGCCCATGGTCATTTCTCAGCGGGCAATCGGACCACACCTTCACCGGCAGACCATGTCGGCCTCGATGCGGACGGGAGACCGGGAGCCCTTCGACATGGACCTGGACCTGCATCTCAACTCGGACCCAGCCTCAGGAATCCTTCTCCCGGCATATCGCCCCCAGGTCCTGTCAGGCACGCGAGGCGTCACGGTTCCTGGTGGCCACGACTGGTGGCTGACACTGGTTCATCTGGCCCGTCGCGTGCCGTGCGCTTCACCTTGCTTTCTCAGAACGCCACACCTTCTATTCGGACCCCAAAATTGATGCGGCGTCGGATCTCTGTCTCGATGGATGGGATCTGATATCGTTTTGCCCGGATACTCCGTCATGCCATTTGTTTTCATGATGCTGCCTGTGTCTGAAGGGCACTGGTGCTGTCCTTCGACGAGAGATGTACATGGTGCCATGTACATGTAACCCTCGTGCATCAATTGAGCGAGCTAACCAAACCTTGTGCGTGCAGTGCACTGCAAGTGTACAATCGACAGACATACAGCACAGCACAACGCAGCACCCGCAGAGGGCCGCACAACTGGAGACGGTACCTCGGCCAGAATGATGCAGAGTAAAAATAGGCGACAGAGTCCTCCCCTCCCGCCTCCGTGCGCCCTGCAAGTAGGTACCGCACAGCAGACCACCCAAAAAGGATCGCCCGCCCAATGGAGCGCGGCGTACCTGCGCGCGGCGCACCTGAGCTTGCAAGGCTGCCCCCTGTCGTCTCTCGCCAGGCTGCTGCCCAGGCTGGGAGTCTTCCAGGCAGGCTTGGCAGGCCGTCCTCTGTCTCTCGGCCCCATTGGAGCCCCCATCTCTTTGGCCCCCCTCCTCCCTCCCCCCCCGCCCGTGGTCTGTCCTCTGCGGTTCATCAACCGAAATCAACATGCGCGAACGCCTTACAGACTCCCAGACTGCAGATTACGGACCAGGGGGCTCAGTATTCTTTCCTTTCGTCTTGTTTCGTTTCCCTTGCGACTCATTGCCACCAACCCAACGAGTGCCCCCCTTCTCAACGATGATCAAGCTCGCGGGCGTCTGTTTCTGTTTCTCCCGCGCTATGCGCCTCCCGCGGTTAATACCAGCGCGCGCTCGCGCAAGCACTCCTCTCTCCACGAGTCGTGCGTCGCCTGGCAACCGGCGCTCAAAGGTTGACCGTTGACAGGTTAGACAGAGAACATGGAATGGAGACCTAGAAGGAGCGCGATCCCTGGTCTTATCTTGACTCGACAGATTCTGATCTGGAGTGTCGTCTGCGAAGCATACCGTGTCCAGGCAGCCCGTTGAACAATCGACCCTCCGAACATGTATAGGACAGACATGTACAAGCCATTGAGTGTTGTCTACGATATTGTTGTTCACACGTGAGCCGCTCCCGCCATTCCCGTTGCCAGAGTCCTTATGGCCGAGATCCAGCGACATCGATTCGAGCAAAGCAGAAGGGGAACAGAACAAGTAAGAGGATGAAGAAGCTACAGGGGCCTGCGGCTGGGCTTGGGGCTGCATGCACGTTATCCTGAAATGGCACATTTACGGAGCTTTGCGCTGCGCCTCTCCTCGTCTGACACACCATATACGCACACACGCACACACTCGCCCATTTCCACAGCACATTTTCCACCCTTCTCTTTCGTCCACTGGCGCGCCTGGGCTAATTATGGCACCGGCTCGGTTCGATCCGCTCTAGTCACTATTGCCCGTCGAATGAGCATGGCAACCATGAGCACGAACAAATCTCAGCGTGTGTGTCTGCTGGTTCACCGTTGAGCTCGCGCGCACTCTCTCTCTGTCTCTGTCTCTCTCTCTCTCTCTCGCCAGAGCGACACCAGCTCTGCATCCCGTCCCTGTCCATCAGACCCCCCTCCAGGAAGAATCATGTCAGAGTCGCAACGTGTCCCTCGCTGGTGCCGTCCTATTTCGTCCCTCGCCTCAGAAGGCTGACTTGTACAACCGAGCCTGATGCCTGTCTGCCTACCAATCATGGCCCTACCGCTGATCAGAATACGGGAGAGCCCCGTGGCTGGCCCATCCAAGTGGTCGAAGGAGCACGTACCTGGCGTTTTCGAACCAAGGGTTGCCGCCACCCATGTCTACAGCTGACAGGGGCAAAACCATGACGGGACCGCCTTACAACATGTCCCAAGACCCCTATGTCGTTGACCGTCTCGACTTCTTCCGTCTTCTCTCCCCCCTCCCTTCCAACCATCTCGATGTAGCAGCGCCCCCATCCCGCCTGGCCATCTTGGTAGCCTGAGTGAGTGACCTCTGTTCCATTGCAGATGGGGCATCTTGAGAACCATCTTCCCACTCACACCAACCCCAACGTCCATCACTGTTGGAACCGGCTGTGACGAACCCAAGAACCACACACGCGCTTGCCCCCCTCCCACCCCCGTCTGTCCATCTGCCTTCTTTTGCACCTCCCCCCCTCTCCATACCCCCTGATTCTATTCTACGTCTACGCCCCTCTCACCAACCCCAAACTTTGCTCGTCACCTCATGTCTGCGTCGACGGGGGGTTC